ATCTAGACGTTGTCTGTCCGTGAGAACGTTTCTCCTGAGGAGGGATGCTTTCAGCAACTCGTACGAGTTACTTACCTCGGGACTCAACATCTGTGATGTTACGTACTTGCTGAATTCCCGCGGTAGGGCGTGAATAACTGCAAGTAACTGTGAACGTTGATCGGTTATCCCATGCTCACAAAAATCTGCTTCAGCTAGCAGAAACCACGTTTCAGCATTATCTGGCCAGTATGGTACGAGCTGAATGGTTTTAGGAGTTGAGCGGATACGGATGACCTTGGGACTAAGATCACTCATGACGAAAATTATGTCGAATAATATATGGTACAAGAACAAATACAAAATGGAACGAACTCACCGGGGTTATCTGCGGATTTTTCGTGGATGAAGTTCGCGGTTGGGCTCACCAGTTTAAAGGTTGACGGATATTAAAGGTTTGACGTGATATCTCGTTCAACAACTTCTAATTAATTTATTCTCGCGTACCAAAGACAAAGCAAAAGCCAATAATTGATCGTCCAAACCAAGATATATATTTAGGAACCAAAACCAGCCGTTAGACGAACGCTTAGCTAGCTAGTGATCGTGCACGTGACACGACGAGGTACCAAATGGCGGGGATGCTTGACCGGAAGCCTTCAGCTAAACAAGTCGACTTAAACAGTGGTGGTCAGCATCCAATGAGTGATTGCTGTGGTCAATAATTTTGGGGAATTATTTACCGCTACAAGCTCAAGGACGTAGGTGAATGGTTAAGACTATAAGAATTAGTGAAAATATGATGAATTGTGTCAGGTAGCCCAGTAATTCAAGTAGGCCGCCAAACAATTTATCAAACAAGAAAAGTTAACTAGTCTAAAACGAGATGCATATTTCAGGATATAAGTTTCCAAACTGAAAAGCGTGGTAATTCAAAACCATGCACGAACAACCAAATGTAACATTATGTACACTAAGCCGAATGATGAGCGCTTTCAGTCTAACAAGTTTGCCAAAACAGTGGCAGCCACTGGTATCTGATGTCGGAATGTAGTGTAGCTCTACGGCGTCGGCGGCACAGCGGTAGAATGCTCATCGACCACCCATATGGTTCAGGGTTTTGTACCCGGCCAACGCATTTCTTTACCTCGCTAAGTCAGCACAGGTAGAGAGGGGAGATTGGGCATGAAGCTAGCAACCCCCACCCTGTAAAATCAAACATCACAGCTACAGCTGTATGCCCCACCGGGAAAGATAAGGAGTAACAAGAATTCGGTTTTATGAAGTTGAATACCGCCACCTACTTCTCATAAGTTAGTGTAAACATAAGGAGATTCTGTTGGCGGGAAACTAGGCCGTAGTATAGGGCATATTGTTAGACCATTCATGTATGTACTGGAACAAATTTTTCCAAATTCTGGTTCACTGAAAACCTCGTCACATACTTTCAGGCAAGAGAGACTCATAACAAGTAGGAAGCCATTTCATGATTCAATAACAGTACAAACATCAAACAGTAAAGAACAGATACCACAATCAAATGACCTTAAACCAACCAGTCAGATCGCTCATCACTGCAAATGTATGCTTCTTACAAACCTTGTTGAAGGTTTTACTTTTACCTCAGTCCTGAATCAGGATGAAATTTGCAACGAAAATTATGAAATGCATGGATTTATAATGCTGAGCGATCTGATTGGTTTGTCCGGAATCATCTAACTGTGATGTTTATTCTTTATTGTTGCTGTACAGGCAAACGCATTCTCAATAACATCATTACGGCCTGTGGTACCATAGGTGAAATGATAACCTGATTAGCAGTTAATTGATTCTCACAGTTTCCCTGTGTTAGAGGCCAGTTTTTTTTCAGAACTTCAGATTTCCATTCCCCCTTTAATTAACAATTAAGACAGTTTGCCAAACCAAGTCTACCTCTCTCTCTGTGTCCCAGATAACCCAATCATTCATTCCCAAAAAATATCAATAAATGTGCTGTCTTTCAATGTTCCAACATTGATTAGAGTTTGGCTTTCACAACAGAAACAAAAACTCAAGTCCCATCCTATTTGAGAACTATCACACAATTGGATGTTCATGATATCGAATTCTCACACAGCTAGCCAGCTAGAGTCAATATACTAATACAAATATAGAATATACCATGATCGTACAAGTTCTATCCCAGGCCAATGCATACTTCTAAACCTCGCCTTTTTTCCTTCGCGTTCCCCAGTGGAACATAGGGCTTCAAGCTAGTGGCTCGAAGTTTCTGTAGCAGTGGTGTTTATTTTACAGGATGGGGTTGATAGCCTCATGCCCAACCTTTTCTCTTTACTAGCACTATTTCTGGCTTAGCGAGGTGAAGGAGTGCATCTGTGGCCAGGAATCGAACCCCGGAACATGTGCATGGTCGGCAAGCGTCCCAACAGCTATACCACCGACGCTAACTTCGACTAGTTAAGTGTAATTGCAGAAATTGGGTGCTGCGGTAGAATGTAATCCCATATTAGATAAGTCTATTTTAAATATCACACAGTGATGATGCAGTATTAACAACTGGATGACAGGGGGTTTCGAGCATAAATTATTGCCACTCATAATCATATCAATTATAGTCACACAGTTTCACACAATTTGTCATATACATATTTTCTGTATATTCTACCTCTCCAACATTTCCCTTTTGATGTTTGTTGCCACTTTCCATATCTCCAGTATAAGGGTTGCATCAATTCTATCCAATGTGTAAGGTGTTGACTCGACGATAAACAAAGGTTCAGTGATTTACCGCCCTGTCTCTCCACTTACCTATATTACTATTTCATACTTTCAGTCTGTCCCATCCTATATTGCGATTACATGCAAGTGGATGTAGTGTAGCGGATGCCCGGCGCTCTTCACCGGGTTGACTGTTCATTGCATAACAGTCTAGGGGAGATGGCTAAACCCTGATTCCAAACCTCCAACGACTGGCGTATGAAGCTCACCGGCAGACGTATGGACAAAGGGCTTGTTGGATGTCCTGGATGTCTGGCCCCATTCAAAAAGGCGTATGAACCGAACTCCGGTCACCGGCTGACAATGGATAGTGGACTCCTTACTCCACTCCTACTGCCTTGTAGGTCACACTTGGCTGTGTAAAGGCTAGAGCTGTACTCTCAAACAAAAGGCCGAGCGATTCTGGGGACATCACTCGTACCAAATTCCCATAAAACTTCATGAACTCTCTTACAAATTGCCGCGCCTGGGCAGCGATGATTCGAGACGTTCATGAAGCTGGCTCATCCTCCCGTAGGAGATAGCCGAAGTAAAGTAAGTAGTGCAATGGCTGAGCTTTTTCTAGGTTATTTAACTTATCACGGTCAATCATTCGAGGTCTAACTAAATTTTTGTGTTTCAATATTCTGATTGACACCAATTAAGCAGTTTGACTTACGTAATTGATCTTACTAAGAGTCAGCACTACATGGCATTTGGTAAATTATATTAGTATTTTTTCTTAATTGGATCAAACGGCTCCTCAAGTCGACAAAGTTTATCTCTGAAAGAGTTTGGTTGGTTAGTGTAAATGCCACCCCAATATCAACCTCATTAAGAATCCTACGTAAGGACTCTGATGTGCCGTCTTTATACAGCAGTACTACACAAACTTTGAATTCTACATTAATTTTGTCATTTGTATCATTTTTATTACTGATCTTGGTATGGTTTTATGGTTCTTCATATATATTTCTGATTGGAATCACTCAGAGCCTGTACCACAGATATAGAAAATGGATAAAAGCAACGAGAAGGAACAGGTAGGGACAGAAAGAAAATATATGCATAAGACAAACTGTGAAAATATGTAACCAAATTGATTGATAATTATGCGTGGCAATAATTTATGCTCGAAACCCCCTGTCATATCCACTTAATTAATAATATTGATTTTGCATTGTGTGATTTTTTGAAATAAACTTAACTAACTAACTGAACCATCAACGGGAGGGATTTGAAAGAGGTTACTTCATTCACTTATCTAGGGAGCATTGTCTCAACTACAGGAGGAGCGGACGAGGATGTCAAATCGAGAATCGGGAAGGCGAGAAACACATTCATCAGCCTGAAATCAATCTGGAAATCTTCGTCACTCAGCATCACCAACAAAATTCGGTAGGATTTTCAATACAAACGTAAAGTCAGTCAGCTCTTCTATACGGATCAGAAACTTGGCGGGTGGGTCACAAAGAATATTTCCAAAAGGCTGCAGACCTTTATCAACAACTGTCTTCGCTCAATACTGAAGATCAGATGGCCGGGCCGGAAAGAATCACCAACAAGGAATTATGGGAACAAACAAAACAAAGCAAGAACCAATCGCCAACTAACAAATATGCAGGAGAAAGTGGAGATGGATCGGACACTCGCTGAGGAGACCGCTGGGTGACATCACGCGCCAAGCCCTCGAGTGGAACCCGAAAGGGAAGCGGCGTGTGGGACGTCCAAGGGTGACATGGAGGAGATCGTGTGAAGAGGAGTTGAAAGAATATGGATTAACATGGATGCAGGCGAAAAGTATAGCAGAAGACAGAAGAAAATGGAGACGTGCAGTTGAAGCCCTATGTTCCACTAGGAACCCAAGGGAGCAATAATAATAATAACTAACTGAACCACTGTGCCCCAGACTATACATTGATTTTAGGAATTATTTCAAGTATCAAGTTACCCACTTTATTAACCTTCTTGAGATTAAGATACAAATTTAACTTAGTAAGTCAAACAACCTAACTCTTTCATCCCTGTGATGACAGACAAAGCCGCATACAATTTTGAAGGAATCAATCAGAATTATTCATGAAAACACATAACGCCAGTGATTAGTCCAAAAGGAAACAATGTGTGTGTGTGTGTGTGTGTGAATGTGAACACATCTGAGGACACCCTATACCCCCAATCGATAATCCCTTTGAAAATACGGAGAAAAGTTAAGTAATTTAGAAAAATATATTAAAAAAAAAAGAGAGAGAGACATTTTAATACTATTGTATAAGACGACGTTGTGGATCAAATATGTTCTTTTTAAATTCAAGTATAACTTCTGTTTCAATTTCAGTGGATGCTTTCCTTCCAGATTTTGTTGAATACATAGCCAAAACATCTTCAGGAAGATCATCTGCACAAATAAAGTACGCATGGAAATAGTATTAGTTTTATTTCGAAAAATACTTTTACATAGTGTATAATATTCTCAGCGTGTTTTATCTACTTGTATATTACAAAATCGTCAAATAAAATAAAAATCTACAGTGTATGACTAGATGGAGTATTACTGAGTATGAAATACGCTTTACTGCCTGCCGAACGATTCTGTCTGCATTTCTGTTTAGTTTCATCGATGATGTACTAATGGACTTAACCATAACTAACCTCAGCAACTCAGGGACTCATCTCCTTGACTTAAAATATTCGGATGATGATAAAGTCCTATCTCCAAGGTGAAAACGCTGACAGAATGCAGAGTCTTCTGAACACCCTGAGGAGTAGAAATCCTCGAATTTTTGGCATGCGATTCCATCCCGCAAAACGTAAGGTAACTACCTACCTGAATAGGGCAAGTCGCCAGTGAGCATCTCATTGGTATTTAAGTGATCGTTTGTAGGGATCTGATTGGTTTCAGGATTTCATCATGAGCAGACATTAGTTAGAGAACCATTGGAAAACCTGGGACTGTTCAGCAGTACGCACCCACCGGGATTCGAGCCCAGGACCTTCCGGTTACAAGGCGAGCACGTATACCATTAGGCCACTGGGACCCGATCCAATGGTCCTTGAATTATAACTCCTAATAATAAGAGCTTTATTCCAAACAGTATTTGTGGTACAGGTATGGAATTTTCAGTGCGCATTACAATATCGCATCTAATTAGCTCATAAATTTTATAAGATTTTAAAATCAAAAGCAACACCCAAAAAAGATAAATAAAAAGAGATAAAAAATAGGATAAAAAAGAATAACGTTGCGTATACATTTTTAAAAATGCAACAAAGGATATGAAATATAAAATTGGTGTGTAATAGAAGATGTGAACAACAGTGTAATAGTAACGAAGAAAGGAAAACAAAAACTAATGGGACTATTTGTTAGAGTGCCGCGCTGTAAGTTGATCGTGTCATACCTAACGGATTTCTCATCACATAACAACTGTGCCAGATATGGTATTGTGAAGATTTTGTACTTGGTAGTCCTAGCATATAGCCTCCTTCCTATAGCTGCTTCTAGTTCCACCAGATGAAATGCAAGGAGACAGCTGCGTATAGAGAGGACGCTCGGGGTCTGACAATATTGTATTCGTTAGTTTCTTACATGACATTATATGTCTATCCACAATAGTGTTAACCAGTTGGTTTAACGATATCCCACCTGCCCTACTAACGGCTTCTAGTGCCCTTCTCAGCAAAGCAAAGTCTTTCTTAAGTAGTTCAGGAAAGATTAATGGGGAGCAGTAAAGGGGAATGGGTAGAATACAAGAATTAACAAACTGAGAAAGCAAAGACTGCCTAAACTTCCTAACATAGAATGTTAAGCAAAACATCTTTCTAGTTACTAGCAAGATGTGGGAGGACCAGGAAAGACCGGAGGAAATACTCAGTCCAGTGCGTCGGTGGCATAGCGGTTAGGACACTCACCGACCATGCACATGGTCCGGGGTTCGATTCCTGGCCATAGATGCACTCCTTTACCTCGCTAAGCCAGAAATAGTGCTGGTAAAGAGGAAAGGTTGGGCATGAGGCTATCAACCCCATCCTGTAAAATAAACACCACTTCTACAGAAACTTCAAGCCACTAGCTTGAAGCCCTATGTTCCACTGGGGAACGTGAAGGAAAAAAAAACTCAGTCCAAGGTACTTGACATTAGATGTATTTTCAACCTCTATGTCGTCAATGATAGTAGGTCACGTTTACGTCTGAAAGTGAAATTGACTACCTGACATGCAGACGGATTAAGCTTAAGACCGTTCGAAGAGGACCACTGACTAATTTCCGACAGAAAGTTATTTAATTTGGAACAATCTGACTGAGAGTTGACAGGCATAGAAACAGAGGTCATCAGCATACTTAACAAAAGTGGCTACATCAGAATGAGCCAAGTCATGTAAGAAAAACGAAAAAAGAAAGGGAGAAAGAACAGCACCTTGAGGAACACCAGCTAAAGTAAGTGAGGTAGTGGAGGACTTTCCATTGTAGACGGTGTACTGCTTTCTATCAGAAAAATAGGAATGCAGCCACTTATTTGTCCAGCTCTCAGCCTGTGTTGCAGCAAGCTTACTTAGCAAGAGAGACCTAGGTACAGAGTCGAATGCAGCTGTGTAATCAAGGAAGGCACACTGAACGTATTTCGCTCCTCTTTCTAAACTAGAGACTATATTATGATATAGGACAACAGCGGCATCTAACGTATACCTACTATGTTTGTAAGCAAACTGGTTGGGGTCATTGAAAGGCTTTAAAGAGGGTTCAAGATTAAGTAAAATAAATCTTTCCATAACTTTCAAAAAAGGTGAAGGAGGTAATAGCAATGGGTGTAAACTTAACATTAGATCCACTTATTAATTTAGGCACTGGAACAATCTTGATATTTTTCCATGAGTCAGGTATAATACTTTTAGAAAAAGATTTGTTAAAAATGTCAGTTAATGGAGAACATAAGATGCCAGCAAACTTCTTAAGGATAACAGCAGGAACACCATCAGAACCAAGGGACTATATCCATACTAGCTGTTTCAATGTAAGAAAACTTCTCTATCATCAGTTCCATCACTGATCTGAGTGTTATTAGTTTGGTCAGTCAACTTTCAGCAAGGAGTATATGACGGATTAATATGTCACACAACTGTTCCCATTTGAATAATTCTTGTGTAATAGAGTATTGCTCAATACTCCTTAAGGGTAGAATTGGATTACATTGCGTTTAACGCTGACAGACAAAAGCTGCAAAGTGTATGTAAATTATTATTAAACTAAACGAAATGCCAACAAATATAAAATTCATTGTATTCAATTATCAGAGACAATGCCTATGAACGAACATACCATCTAAGGCTAGACGACACTTTCCACTTTGACCAAAACTTGATTCAATATAACCATTTATGATACGACATTTTTCAGAAGATTTAATATTCACATAAGCGCGTAAACCAACAAATATCTCCCAATTGGTTTCACGTTTAAATAACCCGTGAACAATACACGCACGTGGATTGACAACTCGCTCGATTTGACCACGACGTGTTTTAGATTTACATATCTGATATTGGTTTAATAAAAAAAATTAAGAAAAAAAGAATTAATCAGTTGAATAATTAAAAAAAAACAAAATAATTCCGTAAAATAAAATAAAATACACCCCACTGAACATTCTTCAGATAAGAGTAGTATTTGTGGTACATCGCCCTAGAAGTTTGTTTGATTAATGCAAGTTACCTTTGACATAGATGGTCAACAAAAGTAAAAACCTATCTAAGAGTAACAATTAGCGCCTGTCCCGGTCGATAACTGCTACCTTGTCGTGGTGGTCGGGCCCAAGATGCTAAACTGCCTGGGACTCATGTCCCTGCAGGTCCTACCATGTCAGGAAGATTGTTTGGATAGCGGTTAAACTAAAAGCAGTTACTATAGGATACATGGGCTCCAGTATCCAATCGGATCAAATGGCCTATGAACCCATATGGGTCACCGGAAACCATGGGAATGCAGCTCCTGACGCTGCTCCACTGCCTTGCGGATTAGATTCCAAGTTAAAGGCTCTGGGGTGGTCCCTTAATAAAACCACCTGCTTCGGTCTGGGCGCCCGGACAGTATCTCAGCCCTCACACAATAAATCAAATGAAGCAAAGGCTCAAATCGATGGCTCGAAACGTTATTGGATATGGCCAAGAATCGCAGTCATCAATGGCGAACGTGTTGCAATTTCCTTCTTTCTTCCCTTCGCGATGATAGTTAACGAATACTGTTTGAACTTGTTAAGCATGACTGTTTTCCTTCCACATGAAGTTCTTTATCCGTTCTCTACTTACATATATTTTTTCCTTTCTTTCTTTTTTTTCTTTTGATCTATGTTGTTTTATTATTATTGTGTGGCGCATCTTTCTTGGTGCCATATTGTACCAAGTTTTTATGCTTTTAAATAAATAAATAAATTTGCGTCTGTAGTTCATCGGTAAAACGCACTCCGACCATGTGTGTTTCGTGGTTCGATTCCCGCCAGACGCACTCCTGAACCTAACTAAACCAGCAGTACTCTCGGTAAGGAGAGGAAGGTAGGATCTTGGGGCTAGCAACTCCTTCCCGCGAAAAAAACAAAACCACTACTTCCGGAACTTTAAAGCTGACGCTTGAAGCCCTATGTTCCACTCGGAATGCCAAGAGATGAAATAACGATAAATAAGAGTAACGATATGATCAAGTTATTTTAAAAGCAAAATTTTGGCATAATCATCCATTTTTTTTACTGTATTTACACCTAATATCTATACTGGTCATGTGACAGTTCCACTGTATGCGTAAAATACGACGAAGGCTTTGTAGTTCTCTATAATTCCTCTATCATGGAATGAACACGATTTGTAGTTGTACAGGGTGAAGATGTACCACACTGACTTCATGAGCACTCGACAAGCAATCGGTGCGTCCCGAGTTTGAGACACACTTTACCTACTTCAGCCTGAGTAACTGAATTCTAATAGTAGCTGTAAGGTAGAACAGAGTGAGTTGTGCAGAACAACTCGACAGACATGATGTGGAAAGTCGAGTATTTCACCTGTGTCATAAATTAAGCAATCTAGCAGAGAGAGAAAGAGAGAGAGAGCAAACCTTATAATTCTATCCATTATTATAAGAGTCTATGTATTTTTAAATGAATGGAAAACAAAACTTCCGTTTTGTTTTTACTGAATTTTCGCCGTGTAGTGATATTAAACCAGAATTTACAAAATCTCAGCTTATACATAGTAACATAAACATCGTTCTTCAACATGAGGTAATTTTTACGTCGTTGTTGTCAAGTTGACTAATTGTTAAAGATAAGAAAATTATGTGTAGATTAATTCAGCGAGGAAAATTTTCTTTATCAACGAAATCATCTTCACAGGCTGGCTGGCTGTACAGTCGTATTTATACTTACAAAAAACACAGTGGTCTATTATTGATTAATAGGGGGTGACATAATTGATATAATTACTCAGAAGTGGCCGCTTTAGAAGTAAAAAATAAAAGTTGTAAATTACGTAATACTCAACAGAACAAAGATAGAAATTTGATACGGTTAAAATTGCTCTTGAGTGAGTGAAAATAAAGGTAGTAGTTGAGTGGCAATTTAACAAATGTGAAGAGGGTGTCTGTCTGTCTGTCTGGATTCAACATAGAACTTGGCACCGAAGTGCACCAGTTCGAGTTGCCACGTTCCAAATAGCACACAGAGGTAGGCAAGAAGATGAGTGAAGAGAATCAATAGAGTTTGACAAGTATAAGAGTGAAACAGAATGGGTAATGGTAGAAAGAAATATGAAAGATTACAGAGACTGAATACATGTGCGCTGGCCATTGACAACGATTTTGAGCCATGTCACCACCTATTGTCTCCAGCCATTGATTCTTAGAGTCAGTCCCGAGGGCCCCAACCCGGGAGTCTGCATCTCCCCCCTACCTGAGTCAGCTTAAATGTCAAGGATTTCATGGATTGATGAGGCCACCTGACCGACCTAGCCATCTCAATCTATGTAACTTTATAGCCTCGTCGATTGATTTTCCCTCTTTGCCCAACACTCTACGCCTAACGTCAACATTACTTACCTTATTAAACCACCTAACGTGAGACAGAGATCGCAGACATCTATGATCGAAAGCAGTCAACCTTTTCATGTCTTCAACGCGAATTGGCCATATTTCAGAGCCATAGAGAAGGACGGAGCGAACTGATGAACCGTACACACGTCCCTTGGTTGATAACCGGATGTCACGCCTACGCCAGAGATGGTGTAAGTCAGCGAAAGCAGCTCGAGCTTTTTGGATCCGTGGTGAGATTTCGTCGCTAATCAGTCCGTTGGTGCTGATACAACTTCCCAAATAGGTGGAGTGGTCAACATGTTCTATCACTTCGCTTCCTATCATTAAGCTAGGAGTTGACGTAGTCCAGTCCTGTAGCAGCATCTTTTACATCTTTTTGCAGGGGCGAATCGCATGCCATACATACGAAGATTGCTGCTCAAGGTGTTCAGAAGACTCTGCATTTTGTCATCATCCTCCCCTAATAGGACTATGTCATCTGCATATTCTAAGTCCATTAGATTATTCCCTGGTTACAAGTTGATTCCTTAGTCATTACGTTCAGTTAAGGATACTTCCATCAGCATATCTATGATGAAGTTAAACAGAAATGGGGAAAGTGGACATCCCCGTCGGACACCACTGGTTGTTACCAATTCAGATGACAATTCCCCATAAGCCCTTACACGACTACGTGAGTTTGAATAGAGTGCCTTGATTAGTGCAATGTACTTTCTTGGCACTCCCTTCACAGTCAGACATTGCCATAGTACCTTTCGATCCACGGAGTCGAACGCCACCTTCAAGTCAAGAAATATGACAATTGTTGGACGCCAAAAAGTGTGTCTGTGTACTAGAATCTGTCGAAGAGTGAAGATATGATCTATGCACCCTCTACCTGGTCTAAAGCCTGCTTGATTTTCCCTTGTCTGTTCCTCCCGAGTTCTGCTTAGTCTACAGAACATATGAGAGTGATAATAGTGAATTAATTATTAAAGTAAAAGCAAACTAAGAGTAAAAGAAAAAATTAAAAATTGTTTTACAGGGAACGATTAGTGAAGAGGTTAAGACCAAGATAGAATAGGAGACTGGACAAACTTTTTTCTGTACCGCTTTGGGCCATCTCAATGTGTTTATAAATTCAAATACCTTTATTCTCACTCAAGAGCAATTTTAACCCTATCAAACTTCTATCTTTGTGCCGTTGAGTATTACGTAATTTACAACTTTTATTTGTACTTGTAAAGCCGCTTATGAGTGATCATATCAATTATGTCACCCCCTAGTTCTCAATAATAGACCACTGTATGTTTTTTGTAAGTATAAATACGACTGTACAGCCTCTGAAGATGATTTCGTCGGTAAAGAAAATTTTCCTCGCGGAATTTGTCTTTTATTTTATATTTAGTTATAAATATATTTTTATATTACACATAAAGATTATGTGTAGATTGTTGAATTTGGTAGGCGTTTAGAATTATAAAAACAACATGTGTTTATACAATGTAAATGGCTTATCACATTTGTCTTGACTTTGTCACTTCAATGGGGGAGGGTGTTAGAACCAGGTTAACTTCTGCCTTACCCCGTCATTATTATTCAGATAATGCGGATTTCGATTAATATGAAGTGTTTCTGAAATGCTTTTTCTGGATGATGATTTCAATATTATCAAAATCATTTTTATGGCTTGATTCTATAGCGCAGCGTGTCGACTTGTCGCTGATAACTTTTAAAGCTTTTCTAGTTCTACTGGATTTATCAGTGGTCGGATACAGGTAGCTCTATAGTGTTCACTTCTGCTAATCTTGATTTCTATCTGGCGAGGTTTGTCCGTTGTATATCGCATCACATTCCAAGTATTTCATTCTATAAACACAAATCGATTGTGAACCCTTTGGGATTCGGTCTTCCACACAAACAAGTTTGTTTTTTAGTGTGTATCTGATCTTTTGAAGCAAAATCTGACGTTGTATTTATTAAGTATTCTTCTGATATCATCTGAAGTTCCTTTTCTATGTGGAATGATAACTGTTGAGGGTCATGTCTTTTTCGAATACACCTTCGAACATGTCTAATGTTTATGCTGACTTTGGTGATGAAGTCCTTCGAGTAGTCATTTTTTCTTAGAGTTTCAGCAATGTTTGATATTTCTTCTTCTATACTATCTATTATCAAAGAGTGTGCCTGTCTAAGAAGACTCTAAATAAATGATACCTTTGAACTTATGGGATGTGGTGTTACAAAGTCTAAATATTTGTCAGAGTGTTGGGTCATAAGTTCGAGTCCCATTCCATCTACTTTAGCCTAGGCGACTAGCTAGTATCGCTAGTCCTCATGAAATAAGTGCGACTCTGAACCACCGACTGGTAAATGATAAGTCTATTCCCGGTGTGGTGAGAGCAGGCTGCTAACCGATCGGTAGACATTAATTTACGTCAATGTCTATGTCGCTAATACTGGCCGTGAGAAAATATGAACAAGGCTGATTCAGCAACCAATCACAGCAGACTTAACGTGGGCAAATATGATTCGCAGATATATGGCTTAACGCTCTGAGAAACCAGTCACAAACAGTACACAATAACCTTGAGCAAGAAACAACCAATCAGAAGACTGTGTTGTCTGCTTGAATAAGCTATAATAATATACATGAAAATATATATATATATAAATACGTGCTGATTTCCTTAATAAACGATCTGTTGCCTGGCCCTTGTCTTCTGTTGTTACACCAGTAAGTGAACCTAAAACTAGCAATTTGAAGGCCACTGGATCGAGTCCTGTTTCAACCCAGATTTTCAATTCACGCTTATTACATTAATAACAGTGCGCCAACCCAAGACGATATCAGATAGTCTTATCATCAGTAGACACACAAAGATAACCTACAGGGATTTCAATTGCTAAAAGCATATAGAACACAATGAAAAAACTTGAATTTTTATAGAATACAAATAATGTCAATATATTTTATGTACCCAGACAAGGCATAAATCGATAGCTAACAAGTTACGTAGTCTGACTTACTGTAAATTTTCATTTCAATGAATTATTCTACAAAGTCTACAAAGTAAATTGTATTTTAATGAAATTGGTAGATTTTATGTGAAATAATGGACTATAGTGACATCATGAGCGTATGTTGCCAATGGCGTCAACGAGGTGAAAATGCACCCCCTCCCTCCCAATAAGTTAGGCTGGATAGAGAAACTATCTTTGAAAAAAAGTTGATTTGGTTGTACTAAGTTAATTTACCTCGAGTTTGCGGATATCTTTTCAAGTGGCGGTATTTTGAAGGGGTTAGGCAGAAGGTCTTGCTTGAGAAAAATCATCAAAGAGGATCTCATATTCGAGTGTTGGTCTGCAATGATTTGACTGATTACAGGATTTCATCATATGAGTTGAAATCGGTTAGAGAACCACTGCGTTACCTAGGAGTACTGGACACTTGTTTCGTCAGCCTAGTTTGGGACTCTCTCCAGGAGTATGCATTCACCACAGAGGTTTGAATGCAAGAACAGCAGGTTGGGTTTGAGGACAAATACTCGTCATCAATGACATCGGCTTGTGCGTCGGTGGCACAGTGGTTAGGACTCTTGCCAACCATGTACATGGTCCGAGGTTCGATCCCCTGCCGACTCACACCTGATATCTATGGTCGGCTTGCGAAATTCGGGCTAACGATATCCATGCTGGAAATTCCATACTTGTACCAAAAATTCGATGGGGAATCAAGCTGTAATCAAAAAAAATATATCGTGAACAGGCAGAAGTTGGAATTTATGGATTGGCCATTGGATCGGGTCTCCCGACCGAAAGCTGCTACCTTGACGTGGTGGTCGGGCTTGAACACCGCAATGACCTAATCAAGCTATACTGGCTGAGACTTATGTCTCTTGAGGTTCTACCATGCCAGGCAGGTTGTTTGGATAGCGGTTAAACAAAAAGCAGCTACCTCATCCAATACCATGATCCAAACAAATTCACAAAATTTCATGCCGGATCGGCCGTGGCCCGGATTAACAACGACCGCGCTTCCTGCTGCCGTGTCACAGGGCGGGAGTGATAAGTATGCTACTGAGGCACACAAAACAACGAAGAACGAACAAAAACAGGCCGCGTGTGACCGGCCACAAGCAGTTGTCCCCTGGGCTCTGCGGTCACGCAACCAACTTCCACGGTGTGGGCAGCCGGGAAGTAACAATCGCCCTCACAATCCAAAACGCACACAAAACCTCTCTAATCCTCACTTATCTTTGTCTTCATCTTCATCTCTATTACCTTGCCTTCCCCCAGTGATGCAACTCCTCTACTTGATGGCTCCTCACTCCCTCTTCACTCTGTGTCCACTAAAAACGACGAAAGCCAAAAAACCACCACGGATAGTCTCCTAAAGCCACGCCACCAATTTCATATAGGAGCATTTAATGTAAGGACACTTTGCCAAATAGGACAACAAGCATCACTAGCTAAGACCCTGGCATCTCGAGCCATTGATGTATGTTGTGTTTCAGAAACACGCATACAAGACCCAAGTGTGGTTATTCACCTAACCCCACCTGGCCAACAGGATGAATCTTCAAAATTCACCTTGAGGGTGTCAGGAGATGCCACAGCTAGTTCACGGGGATTAGCTGGCGTAGGGATAGCTCTGAGTACTAGGGCAGAAAAGACATTGCTTGACTGGATCCCAGTAGATAGCCGAATGTGTGCTGTCCGTCTGAACGGATCAGTAAGAAGGAGAAAGGACTGCACTACTCGCCGATGCCTTTTCGTAATCTCCGCCTACGCCCCCACTGACTGCAGTTCGGATGAAACGAAGGATGAGTTCTACCAAAAGCTGTCTAGTTTGGTGAGAAAGGCTAAACGCTCAGATATAGTCGTTCTAGCTGGTGACTTCAACGCTCAAGTAGGGAAATTGTGTCAATCTGAGAAGGATGTCGGTGGCACCTATGGAGTTCCGTGCCAGCGAACCGACAACGGTGACCGTCTCCTACAGTTCTGTTCAGATAATCATTTGTTTCTTGTAAGCACTAACTTTAAACACAAGGAGAGACACTGTTTAACCTGGCGACCCCCATCATCAAACCAACGCTGGACACAAATAGACCACATAGCAATAAGCTATCGTTGGCGTGGGTCGGTAGGAGATTGTCGCTCCTTCTGGAACACGTGTGTAGATACCGATCACGCACTGGTCCGGGCTCGTGTGTGCTTACGACTGAACGGACGTAGGAAACAGCTGGCGGTAAAACCATTACGCCCCCAGCTCGATCAGGAAACTAAATCCCTATTTGAGGAAGAACTAGCTAAACGCATATCTGAATCGACAGCTGTGCTCACCCTGGAGAAGCCTGGAAGAATATTCAGTCAGCTATAGATACAGCTGTAAAAGCTGTGAATAAGACAAATCCAAAGGTGAGTAAAAACCACTGGATTTCGACTGCCTCATCCGAACTGATAGATGCTAGAAGACTTATTCCGGCGAGCTCCGAATTCAATGAGGAGCGAAAGCTGCACAAAAGGAAACTTACTAAAAGTCTCCGCAAGGACCGTGAACAGTGGTGGGTGACAAAGGCGAAAGAGATGGAAAAAGCATTGGCGATAGGCAACACTAGGCAACTCTTTAGACTCATCACAGAATCGGGCGGGAAAAGGCAATTCATAAGTGAGACTATTTCTGAGAAAAATGGCTCCTTAATTAGCTCTCAGGATAGACGCCTTGAACGCTGGAAAGAACACTTTGAGGAACAATTTAACTTGCCTACAGCCACACTGAACCTCCCCGCCATCCACCACGTACCCGAATGGGATATAGACACTGGTCCGCCGTCTGTAGGTGAGGTTACAAAAGCTATCAGTAATTTGAAACGAGGCAAAGCGGCAGGACCCGACGGAATTATTCCGGAGGTGTTTAAATATGGGGGTGACATACTAGTTTGTAGATTAACTGAGGTACTAGGCAAAGTCTGGGAATCAGAGACAGTACCATCAGACTGGGGTAAGTCACTCATTATACCGATATTCAAGAAGGGAAACAAGTCCTCGTGTGATAATCATAGGGGGATCAGCCTAACGAACATAGTCTCTAAAATCCTAGGCTCAGTAATCATGCATAGACTAAGCAGAACTCGGGAGGAACAGACAAGGGAAAATCAAGCAGGCTTTAGACCAGGTAGAGGGTGCATAGATCATATCTTCACTCTTCGACAGATTCTAGAACATAGACACACTTTTCGGCGTCCAACAATTGTCATATTTCTTGACTTGAAGGCGGCCTTCGACTCCGTGGACCGAAAAGTACTATGGCAATGTCTGACTGTGAAGGGAGTGCCAAGAAAGTACATTGCACTAATCAAGGCACTCTATTCAAACTCACGTAGTCGTGTAAGGGCTTATGGGGAATTGTCATCTGAATTAGTAACAACCAGTGGTGTCCGACAGGGATGTCCACTTTCCCCATTTCTGTTTAACTTCATCATAGATATGCTAATGGAAGTATCCTTAACTGAACGTAGTGACTTAGGAATCGACTTGTTACCAGGGAATAATCTAATGGACTTAGAATATGCAGATGACATAGTCCTGTTAGGGGAGGATGCTGACAAAATGCAGAGTCTTCTGAACACCTTGAGCAGCAATCTTCGTATGTTTGGCATGCGATTCGCCCCTGCAAAATGTAAGATGCTGCTACAGGACTGGACGACGTCAACCCCTAACTTAGTGATAGGGAGTGAAGTGATAGAACATGTTGACCACTTCACCTACTTGGGAAGTTGTATTAGCACCAACGGACTGATTGGCGATGAAATCTCAGCACGGATCCGAAAAGCTCGAGCTGCTTTCGCTGACTTACACCATCTCTGGCGTAGGCGTGACATCCGGTTATCAACCAAGGGACGTGTGTACTGCTCATCAGTTCGCTCCGTCCTTCTCTATGGCTCTGAAACATGGCCAATACGCGTTGAAGACATGAAAAGGTTGACTGCTTTCGATCATAGATGTCTGCGATCTCTGTCTCACGTTAGGTGGTTTCACAAGATAAGTAATGTTGACGTTAGGCGTAGAGTGTTGGGCAAAGAGGGAAAATCAATCGACGAGGTTATAAAGTTACATAGACTAAGATGGCTAGGTCACGTGGTGCGCATGCCTAACCACCGCCTCCCCCGACGGGCATTGTTAGCTGATATAGGTTCAGGTTGGAAAAGAGCCAGTGGTGGCCAAACAAAAACATGGCATCAATCCATGAAATCCTTGACAGTTAAACTGAGTCAGGTAGGGAGATGCAGACTCCCGGGTTGGGGCCCTCGGGACTCTAGGAATCAATGGCTGGAGACAATAGGTGACATGGCTCAAAATCGTTGTCAATGGCGCAGATGTATTCAATCTCTGTAATCTTTCATATTCCTTTCTACCATTACCCATTCTGTTTCACTCTTATATTTGTCAAACTCTATTAATTCTCTTCACTCATCTTCTTGTCTACCTCTGTGTGCTATTTGGAACGTGGCAACTCGAACTGCTGCACTTCGGTGCCAAGTTCTATGTTGAATCCAGACAGACAGGATCGGGTCTCAGTGGCTGGATGGTCTACGAGCGCTCCGTGTAACGTGAAGGTCCTAAGTTCGAACCTCGGTGAGGGCATGCTGATGAGGAGTCCCACATTAGGAAGAGACAGCTGCCCAGTACTTTCCTGGTGGTTTTCAAGTCATGATGAAAATTCTGTAAAGAATCTGCAATCTTGACGAAACTGACGACTTTTCATAACGTGAAACTCACCTTACTCAATTATGTCTCATCAGAGGGACAATCACGTCGGTACATCGACCTTAGAAAAGACTTTTCTCCCCTTCACGTTCCCAGTGGAACATAGGGCCTCAAGCTAGTGGCTTGATGTTTCTGTGGTGGTGTTTATTTTACAGGATGTGGTTGCTAGCCTCATGCTGGCCCAACCTCCCCTCTTTACCAGCATTATTTCTGGCTTAGCGAGGTGAAGGAGTGCGTCTGTGGCCAGGGATCGAACCCCGGACCATGTGCATGGTCGGCGAGCGTCCAAACCGCTGTGCTACCGACGCGCTTAGAGAAGACTAGTTAGTGCATAATTAAAATCAAGTAATGAGGAAAACAATTCTTGACGTTAAAGAGTATGTAAACTATTATGAATTGTAACATTCATGAAAAGAAATTATGCCTGTAGTATGACAACTTCTCAATTCACAATAACGATATCAACAAAGACACGCACGCACGCACACACACACACACAAATTTAAAATGCAAATACAGACAATGCGCAACTTACAAGTAATTTACTCAGAATATTTAATTTATAATTTGAATCTGTTAATTGTACTGCTACACGCCCATGTAGTGCTAAACGACAACTAGTCACCGAATAGGTATCTAATTTAGCGCCAATAACTAAACCATTCATTGGACAAACAACAGGATGTTCAAATTCCAATAACAAGTAAATATCACCTTCTAGGTTAGTAAAAGAGATGGAATTAAAAGAAGCAAAAAAAACTCATCTATAAAATCACAGAAAATACTCATTGAGCCATGAAGAAAATAAAAGAAAAATTCAGCAAAGAGAATTTTCTTGATCGACAAAATCGTCTTCACAGGTTGGCTGTACAGTCGTATTTATACTTACCAAAAGTGTATAGTGGTCTATTATTGGGTAATACGGGTGTTTAGTTTAAAAATAGGAAGTGAAGTGGTAGAGCACGTTGACCGCTTCACTTATTTGGGAAGTACCATCAGCCCCAACGGGTTGATCTCTGACGAAATCTCAGCACCAATACAGGGGGGTCGTTTCGCACTTGCCAGTTTACGCCACCTCTGGCGTAGACGAGATGTTCGACTATCGACCAAAGGGCGGGTGTACTGCTCATCAGTCCGCTCCGTCCTCCTTTATGGTTGTGAGCGAGACCTGGCCACTGAGAGTGGAAGACATGAAAAGATTAGCTGTCTTTGATCATAGGTGCCTGCACTCTATTTCCCGTGTAAAACGGCATAATAAGGTGAGCAACGTTGGGGTTAGGTGTCGAGTTCTAGGTAAACAGGGGAAATCAATCGACGAATTTGTGAAGTTACAAAGACTGAGATGGTTAGGACATGTGTTGCGTATGCCTAGCCATCGCCTTCCTCGACTAGCAATGTTAGCGGATATAGGGTCAGGCTGGAAAAAAGCTAGCGGCGGTCAAACAAAAACATGGAATCAGTCAATGAAATCCACAACAGTTGGTCTAAGCCACGTAGGAAGGTGTAGACTTCCAGACTGGTTGGGGTCCTCGGGACGGTAAATATCTATGGTTGGAAACAATTGGTGACATGGCTCAAACACATCGTTCTCAGTGGCTAACGCAGATGCATACACTCCCTGTGACTTATGATCTCCAATGAAACTGTTTTGTTTTTCTTTATTACTCCTTTGTCTCACTCCTCTGCTTACTGTCTCTATTATGCTTTTCTTGTACTTTCTTCTCTTGCTTCGCGTGCTACACGGAATGTGGCGACTTGAACTTCCGCACATTTGTGCAAAGTTCTATGTCGAAAACAGACAGATAGACAATACGGGGTGTGCGTCGGTGGCACAGTGGTTAGGACTCTCGTCGACCATGTACGTGGTCCGAGGTTCGATCCCCTGCCGACTCACACCTGATATCTATGGTCAGCCTGCGAAATTTGGGCTACCGATATCCATGCTGGAAATTCCATACCTGTACCAAAATTACGATGGGGAATCAAGCTGTAATCAAAAATAAAAAGAATACTCGGAAGTGGCTTTAAAAGTAAGAAAAAAAATAAAAGTTGTAAATTACGTAATACTCAACGGAACAAAGGATGAAAATGTTAGAGATGTGATAAGGTCAAAATTGCTATTCAGTATGCAGAAGAAAGGCAGCTGAATGTCAATTTAACAAGTGTGAAGAAGGTGTGAAAATATGCAAAAGGAGCATATGAAACTGATAATAGTGAATTAATTAATAAGCAAAAGCAAACTAAAAGTAAATTTAAAAAATAAAAAATTTTCAGAGAACGACTAATGAAGAGGTTAAGACCTAGATAGAATAGGAGACTGGACAAACTTTTTCCGTATACAGACTTCGGGGTTGTATTGATGAATTGCCAGTGCCTCCGACATACACAAAAGCCGAAACCTGACGCCCTTTGTACCACTTGGCCCCACTTTGTAGATGATATTGAAAGATGACTCTGGCGGGGCTATGTGGCTTGAGTTCACCAAGTGCTAAAGAATTGAGCTAGTAAATGTCTTGCATTGTCCTTTTGCTAGCCATGCTGGATAATATTCAGAGATGCGTTTGGATAGTGTGCGGTCGCTTTGTGCGGCCAATATAACTAGCTCCACACGAGCAGGTGAATTTAAAAACACACACATTGAAATGGCCTAAAGCGGTAGTTTATCCTTCGCACATCCGTTGATCATTTGTGAATACAACCCTGAACTCTGTATACAGAAAAAAGTTTGTCCAGTTTCCTATTCTATCTTGGTCTTAACCTCTTCATCAGCCGTTCCTTGTAAAAAATTTTAATTTGAGTTGCTTTTGCTTTAATAACTAATTCACTATTATCAGTTTCATATACTCCTTTTGTATATTTTCACACCTTCTTTACACTTGTTACATTGACATTCAACTGCCTTTCTTCTGCATGCTCAATAGCAATTTTGACCTTATCACATCTCTAACATTTTCATCCTTTGTTCCATTGAGTATTACGTAATTTACAACTTTTATTTTTTACTTCTAAAGCAGCCACTTCCGAGTAATTATATCAATTATGTCACCGCCGTATTACCCAATAATAGACCACTACACACTTTTGGTAAGTATAAATACGACTGTACAGCCAGCCAGCCAGCCTGTGAAGATGATTTTGTCGATGAAGAAAATTTTCTTCGTTGAATTTTTCTTTTAGTTTCTTCATCTATAAAAGCTCTACAATAAACAAAAAATTTATACAGAAGCAACAAGGAAAAGACATTGAGGAAGACACACACAGGGTTAAAGTACATATATAGTTTTTGGAAGATACTGAAAAATGAATATCAAAGTGTAATTTCAAACACGAGAAAGTGCAAACGCCTCAACTGATTTTAAGCCATACAAAAGAAAAGTCTTTTAGTGAATAATTTCTGACATTTTAACTTTGATTATACCTCCAGCATTCCTGTGTATAGAGTTCAGATCCATGGTCAAATACTTGGTAGATTCATGGGATGTTTTCCGTGTAGTCAGCCATAGCTACCTTACAATTTAATCATACGTCAGTTAAAAGTGTATATTGAGAAGGGCTCTATATCCACTTACGTCATATATCTTTTAATGAAGTCAATTAGTGTACGTTCAAATACATTGATTGACACATTTTTCATAATACTAACAATTTAGGAATGTACTAACTCTAAATTACAGCGACCCAAAATGAAACTAACTAGTAAACGGACGTAATGACCTTGATCAACCAATCCGATAAGCCCTAGGTAAATACGCATGATTTAAAAAATCTCTCCTATTGACATCAAAATGAGTGTTATAAGGGCTAACTTTTTCGTGTGTCCCTCAGCAAAACCTCTTAACCACATATTGCAGTCTTCAGTGATAGTCCAAACCTATTTCTGTGCATAAATTCATCTAGATAACTGTTTATCATGCTGTTTTCGTGACCCATTCACTGCTCTACATCACTCATGAACCTAAATAAACGAACAATATATCTTCTCGGATAGCTTTTCTGTAACGACAGGCTGGGCATCTCTACACTCATCCATCAACAGCAGCTGTATACTTCTGTAAAGACATTACTTCTCAACATCTACAAGCCTATTATCCCTATGATACTCAAATACTATGATCCCTTGATGGATTTTGCAAAGTAATTTGTGTGCTGCATCTGTATTTCCGTCTACTTACGATGAACTGAAGCGCATACCAGAGTAAGAGACATGGCTGCCTGCCTATTATCACCTACGACGATATTCTTAGTTGTGGTGGACTGTGTAACAACAGAAGACAAGGGCCAGGCAACAGATCGTTTATTATGAAAATCAACACGTATTTATACATATTTCACATAGATTATTATAGCTTATGCAAGTAGACAAGCGCAGTCATCTGATTGGTTGTTTATCAGAAGTTAGGCAGACAAACACAGGCTTCTGATTGGTTGTTTCGGGTTTCCTCGACAAATAGAGTTCTCTATCTGCGAATCATATTTTGCCACGTTAACTTTGCTGTGATTGGTTGTTAAATCAGCCTTGCTCATATTTTCTCATAGCCTGCTCTCACCACAGACTGGATTATCCATCAGACTGTTGGGAGCGAGGAGTCAGACAGACGCTGGACAACCGATAGGAAGACTCTAGAACATATGGATTTCGCAGATGATATATATGTCTAATGTCACACAAATTTGAAGACTTACAAACGAAAGCCAACAAACTGACTGAAGAGGCCGACAGGCAGCGAAAACAGGATTCCAAGTGAACACAGAGAAGATGGAGGTGATGAAGATAACCAACGGACCGCAACAACAACAACAACAAAAACAACCAGCACCAATCACCATCAACGGGAGAGATTTAACAGAGGTTGCCTCCTTCACTTATCCACCCAGGACGCATCGTTTCAATTTACAAGCAACCGGAATGTATGAAGATGTTGAAGCTAGTCAGAATCAGAAAGGCGAAATACGCCTTCATTAACCTGAAACCAGTTTGGAAGTCTTCTGCCCTCAGCCAGCATAAACAACAAAAAATTCAGATTTCCAACACCAATGTTAAGTTCGTCAGTGCCCCTTGGGGCCAACGTCATGAAAAGCATTTCCAACACAGTGCTGCAGACTTATATCAACAACTACATCCGTTGGCTCCATATTGAAGATCAAATGACCAGAATGAATTGGCGACAAGAAACTGTGAGAACCAATCAATGAAGAACCTATTGCTCAATAAATATGCCGAAGAAAATCGAGATGGATTGGACACACTCTGAGGAGATCACCAAAAGTTATCGAGCACCCAGCCAACGTTCGAGTGGAACTCGAATTGGAAATAACGAGTTGGACGTCTAACGGTGACATGGAGGACATCGTGTAAGAAGGAGATCAGAGGCTATGAGCAATCGTATGGCTGTCTATAAAGGACAACAGAAAATGAACTAAACCAGAAGTGGAGTGGTGAAGCCCTGTGTTCCACTGGGAACCCCATTTCTGTTTAACTTCATCATAGATATGCTAATGGAAGTATCCTTAAGTGAACTTAACGACTTAGGAATCGACTTGTTACCAGGGAATAGTCTTATGGACTTAGAATATACAGATGACATAGTCCTGTTAGGGGAGGATGATGACAAAATACAGAGTCTTCTGAACACCTTGAGCAGCAATCTTCGTATGTTTGGCATGCGATTCGCCCCTGTAAAATGTAAGATGCTGGCTGCTACAGGACTGGACTACGTCAACTCCTAGCTTAGTGATAAGGAGTGAAGTGATAGAACATGTTGACCACTTCACCTATTTGAGAAGTTGTATCAGCACCAACGGACTGATTGGCGATGAAATCTCACCACGGATCCGAAAAGCTCGAGCTGCTTTCACCGACTTACACCATCTCTGGCGTAGGCGTGACATCCAGCTATCAACCAAGGGACGTGTGTACTGCTCAGCAGTTCGCTCCATCCTTCTCTATGGCTCTGAAACATGGCCAATACGAGTTGAAGACATGAAAAGGTTGACTGTTTTAGATCACAGATGTCTACGATCTCTTTCTCACGTTAGGTGGTTTAATAAGGTAAGTAATGTTGACGTTAGGCGTAGAGTGTTGGGCAAAGAGGGAAAATCAATCGACGAGGCTATAAAGTTACATAGACTGAGATGGCTAGGTCAGGTGTTGCGCATGCCTAACCTTCGCCTCCCCCGACGGGTATTACTAGCTGATATAGGTTCAGGTTGGAAAAGAGCCAGTGGTGGCCAAACAAAAGCATGACGGCATCAATCCATGAAATCCTTGACAGTTAAACTGACTCAGGTAGGGAGGTAGATGCAGACTTCCGGGTTGGGGCCCTCGGGACTGACTCTAAGAATCAATGGCTGGAGACAATAGATGACATGGCTCAAAATCGTTGTCAATGGCCAGCGCACATGTATTCAGTCTCTGTAATCTTTCATATTTCTTTCTACCATTACCCATTCTGTTTCACTCTTATACTTGTCAAACTCTATTAATTCTCTTCACTTATCATCTTCTTGTCTACCTTTGTGTGCTATTTGTAACATGACAACTCGAACTGGTGCACTTCAATGGCAAGTTCTATGCTGAATCCAGACAGACAGACAGATAGACAGCTAACCCAAGGGAACAATAATAATGGTAATATAATGATAACTGTAAGGACAACATTATAACTCAAAAATACCTTATATGCATGCATTTCTGACAGGTTGTATTGGACCAAAGACTGTGTCATAGGACTATCACATCCATATAATAATAATGATAATAACATAAATCTAAAGTTTAAAGGCATAAAATCTACCTCTTCAGTCAATGGCTTATAATGTCAATTTTAATATTGACTACTTACTTGTATCACTAGAAAATTCATCAATATATTGATATTTTGCTGTTCTTTCAAAAGTGCAGTATTCCCTAGAACCATTTGTAAGGCGGTTGTCTTCTTCTTCTTCTACTTTTGCAGATGATATTTTATTAAAGAATGTTAAATTAGCCAGGACAGTTTCTTGACCAACAAAAATATGTAAACGAGATTTACTTTTCACTGGATTTTTATAATAACGAACTTTTTCAACACAAGATAATATACAACCATGACATAAGGTTAAATTATCATCTGAAGATAAATCACCGACAAGACCACGTTCTAATAAGCTGGGATCCAACTGGGGAACGCATATACCAGCACGATCACCCTAAGAAAAAAAAATGTAATGAAAGTGAGGTGAAGGGGGAAATTAATTCAATATAGGGTAGTAACATAATTCTGACTGTGAATTCACACCTCTACTCACTGTTTCTATTATGCTTTTTTTGTACTTTCTTCTCTCGCTTCGCGTGCTACACGGAGTGTGGCGACTTGAACTTCTGCACATTTGTGCAAAGTTCTATGTCGAAAACAGACAGACAGACAGACTGTGAATTAGCTCTTTGATCTCCACTCGAACTGGGCACATTTTGCATAGGCCTGTTTACACCATCTCTGGCTTATCAGACGTGATATCCGGTCGGCTATTGACCAGCGGGTGTGTGTACTGCTCATCAGCAGTCCTCTCTGTCCTCCTATATGGCTGTGAGACCTGACCATTGAGAGTGGAAGACATGAAAGGACCAGGTAGATGTGCTTGATCGTAAGGTGCCTGGGTTCTATCTCCCGCGTGAATTTGGTATAATACAGTGAGCAATATTAAGGTTAGCCTTCGGTCGAGTGCTAGGGAAGTGGGGGAAATCAATCGACGAGGCTGTGAAGTTACATTGACTGGCTCAGATGGTTAGGACATGTGTTACCCATGCATCCTAGTCATCGCCTTCCTTGACGGGCAATGTCAGCTGACATAGGGTCAGGTTAGAAAAGAGCTAGCGGTGGTCAAACCAAAACATGGCTTCATCAGTCAATGAAATCCACAACAACTAGTTTCAGCCAGACACATCGGAAGGTGTAGACAGCTGTCTGGTTGGGATCCTCGGAACGGTAAAAACCAATGGCTGGAGACAATTGGTGATATGACTCAAAATCGTTCTCAATGATGGTGCAGATGCATGCATCCATTCCTTGTGACTTATAATATCCAACGAAACTATGGTGTTCTTCGTTATTACTATTCCTTTGGCCTTATATCTCTGTTTAATGTCTCTACATTGCGTTTCTTTTTACTTTTTCCACTTGCTTTGTGTGCTACACGGAGTGTGGCAACTTGAACCGCTGCACATCAGTGCAAAGTTCTATGTTGAAAACAGACAGACAGACAATGTTAGTGAGTCCAGGAAAATTTACGAGCGAAAAAGCTGACTAGTATTTAGATCGCTTCAATTAGTCTAACACATACACACTACCAGTTAGTGTGAGTAGTGTCCAATTACTCATAGTTATCAATCAATCAATCAATCAAGCAGTAGTAAATACCATAACAAAATTAAGGAATTTATGAAGTTTACCTGCCTTTGATGTAAGAATAGAAATTTGGCGCTGTGTTAAAGTATAATTACATCATAATAAATTTACTTGATTAATGGGTTCGAATCCCAGTGGGTCTGTCTGTCTGTCTGTTTTCGACATAGAACTTTGCACATATGTGCGGAAGTTCAAGTCGCCACACTCTCTCCATGTAGCACACGAAGCAAGAGAAGAAAGTACAAGAAAAGCATAAGAGACAGTGAGCAGAGGTGTCAGACAAAAAGGAATAGTAATAACGAAGAACAATACAATTTCATTGGAAGTCATAAGTCACAAGGAGTGGATGCATCTGCACCAGCCATTGAGAACGATTTTGAGCCAGCCATAAAACCAATTGTTTCCGACCATGGATTTTTACCGTCCCGAGGACTCCAACCAGTCAGGAAGTCTACACCTTCCTACGTGGCTTGGACTAACTGTTGTGGATTTCATTGACCGGTTCCAAGTTTTTGTTTGACCTCCACTAGCTTTTTTCCAGCCTGACCTTATATCCGTTCGTCGAGGAAGGCGACGGCTGTGAGACCTGGCCACTGAGAGTGGAAGACATGAAAAGATTAGCTGTCTTTGATCATAGGTGCCTGCGTTCTATCTCCCGTGTGAAGTGGCATAATAAGGTGGGCAATATTGAGGTTAGGCCTCCGTCAAGTGCTAGGTAAGGAGGGGAAATCAATCGACGAGGCTGTGAAGTTACAAAGACTGAGATGGTTAGGACATGTGTTACGTATGCCAAGTCATCGCTTTCCTCGATGAGCAATGTTAGCGGATATAGGGTCAGGCTGGAAAAAAGCTAGTGGAGTCAAACAGAAACTTGGAACCAGTCAATGAAATCCACAACAGTTAGTCCAAGCCACGTAGGAAGGTGTAGACTTCCTGACTGGTTGGAGTCCTCGGGACGGTAAAAATCCATGGTCGGAAACAATTGGTGATATGGCTCAATATCGTTCTCAGTGGCTGGTGCAGATGCATCCACTCCTTGTGACTTATGACTTCCAATGAAACTGTTTTGTTCTTCGTTATTACTCTTCCTTTGTCTCACACCTCTGCTTACTGTCTCTATTATGCTTTTCTTCTACTTTCTTCTCTTGCTTCGCTTGATACACGAAGTGTGGCGACCTGAACTTCCGCACATTTGTGCAAAGTTCTATGTCGAAAACAGACAGACAGAAGGCGATGACTAGGCATACGTAACACATGTCCTAACCATCTCAGTTGTGGTAACTTCACAGCCTCGTCGATTGATTTCCCCTCCTTACCTAGCACTTGACGGAGGCCTAACCTCAATATTGCTCACCTTATTATGCCACTTTACACGGGAGATAGAACGCAGGCACCTATGATCAAAGACAGCTAATCTTTTCATGTCTTCCACTCTCAATGGCCAGGTCTCGCTCACAACCATAAAGGAGGACGGAGCGGACTGATGAGCAGTACACCCGCCCTTTGGTCGATAGTCGAACATCTCGTCTACGCCAGAGTCGGCGTAAACTGGCAAGTGCGAAACGAGCCTCCTGTTTTCGTGCTGAGATTTCGTCAGAGATCAACCCGTTGACACTGGCTGATGGTACTTCCTAAATAAGAGAAGCGGTCAACATGCTCTACAACTTCATTTCCTATTTTTAAACTAGGCGTCGATGTAGTCCAGTCCTGTAACATCATCTTGCATTTGGTGGGAGCGAATCGCATACCAAACATTCGTAGATTGCGGCTCAAGGTGGGTGCGTACTGCCGATGATTCCCAAACTAGGATGAAACAGCAGATGTCTAGTACTCCCAGCTGGTTTTTAATGGTTCTCTAACTGATATCAATCCGTGATCAACTCGTAAAAACATAACTAACCCATACAAACCAAAACTATAGAAAATTACTTGATAAAGTCTCACAGTATTAGACAGCATTATTTACCAATGACATTTAAGAAACTACTGTCTAATACCATTTAACTTTCGCATGTTGGTCTAGTGTTATTCTATCCCCATAAATCATGATATTCTCCAACTGAAACTCGATGCTACTAAACGACAATTGCCTGGTGTTATTGGAGACCCTATGCAATGATGAATGTCATTCGTATTATACTTCGAGTCCAAAAACTTTCAACTATATCCACAAAGTTTCTTATTAACATTACATACAGAAACCATGTTTAGTTAGAATTCTAAGATCTGGAATAGATTTCCACGTACCAGGCTAACAGGTATACACCTATCGTGTAAGGGCTAATGATATTACCCAATTGCTTGATCTAGAGTAGGTGGAGTGGAAATTGAACCCACAACCGATTGGTTGAAAACCGGATGTTCTAACCAATACTGATTCTCATCTTCACAGGTTTTCATTAAACGTACAAAATTATTTTGGAAACACCATACTTACCGAAATAAAAGTCCAAACATTAAGCTGACATCGTCTACACATACCTATGCATACAGAGTTACACAAAGAATGCCATCACATCAGAGTAAGGAAGAATAGGAGGAAGGGCATCAGTCATGTGACAGAGGAAAGAAATTCTCCACCTCTTGACAGCGAACCAAACATAAAAAACAAAGAAAAGAGCCAGTGGTGATCAAACGGGAGCATGACTTCATCAGTTAGTGAAATCCATAACAGTTAGTTTAAGCCAGTCGTCAACCATGTAGGGTGGTGTAGACTGCTATCTGTCTGGGGTCCTCAAGATGGAAAGAATCAATGAAGACTGGAGACAATTAATGATATGACTCAAAAGTTTTCTCAATAGTTGGCGCAGATGTATCCACTCCTTGTGACTTATAATACCGGATAAAAGTATATTGTTCTTCGATATTACTATTCTTTTTGCCTCATTTCAAACATCACTAAAACTCTCAAGCAAAACAACTACCCAACGAACTTCACCAACAAAATCAACAAAGACATTAAGTATGGCCGAAAATGCATTCCGAAAACATGGACTTCAACAGTCGTCATTCCATATAGAGCAGAGACGTCAGACGATATCAGAAGAGTACTTAATCAACTCGACATTAGAGTTTTCTTCAAAACATCGGACACACTTCAAAACAACCTTGTCCATATAAAAGACCAAATCCCGAAAGATTCTCTATCTAATTGTGTCTACAAAATAAAATGCTCGGAATGTGATGCGATCTACATCGGACAAACATCTCGAGAAATCAAAATCAGAAGAAATGAACACCGTAGAGCTTCTCTTCGACCACCAAGAAATCCAGTTGAACTGGAAAAACTTCAAAAATCATCAGCCATAGGTCTAAATGCTATAGAATCAGGCCACAAAATTGATTTTGACAATATTGAAATAATCCAGAAAAACTTCAGAAACCACAAAGAACGTCTAATATCAGAAGCACTTCATATCAAGTGGAATCCAAATTGCCTGAATAGGAATGATGGACTGAAACAGAATCTAACCTGGCTACAACACCCTCCCCCATGAAGTAGCAAAATCAACGCAAATGTGGTGAGCAAGTTCACTATGTAAACGCACACTACTTTCATAATTCTACACACTGACAAAATCCAACAATCTACACTTGGTTTTACTATCTTTACCAGTTCGCTAACTTGACAACAAAAAACGACCCAGACTGATGAATGATGATCAAGTATTTCACAGCCTACACTTAGTTTAGTTAGCTTTACCTACTCCCCAACATGACAACCAAAATGACCTCAGACTAACGAACCATGATCAAGTTAGTAAACTTTATTTTGATATAATAACAGATATACTATTACCTTTGATATTTGGTTTGAACGGTCTTCATTGTTATTTTGACTTTCAATATGTCCTTTTAAGTTGAACTAAGTCTATATTTTTCTCACCCCCCCTAATTCTTTGTTATATATATGCTGAGATTTTGTGAATTCCGGTTTTATAATACTTTGAGAAAGCTATTGGCATTAAATAGCGAAACGTCAGTAAAAACAATCTCGTTTTGTTTTTTCATTCATTGGGAAATACAAAAAAAACCTCTATTATAATGAATATCATATACCCAATGCCCAAATTTTTTCAAACCGTTAAAAGTGAACTTGGTTTGGATATATATAAGCCTCATATCTCTGTTTACTATCACTATTTCGCATTTCTTTTTTACTTTCTTCTCTTGCTTTGTGTGCTACATGGAGTGTGACGACTTGAACTGCTGCACATCGGTGCAAAGTTCTATGTTGAAACCAGTCAGTCAGTGGTCTAAAATCTGGAAACTACTTTGAAACGATTTAGGTAAGAATTGACTTTTATGGAATAGGATCATGAATACGAAATTTATCTACAGACCGTTACTCTTCTATTTTTCATGTACACTAAGTCAAGAGTCACACTTATAGTGTGAGAGCTTACGATACTACCAAGTTGGCCAGACTGCAGAAACACGGACTGAGAACCACTGGCAGAGAGTCAGCCTTCGTTACACACACACACACCTGATCGATAAAATTTGTCTGAAAAATATTAATTTAACCGTCTTTATCGGTTGTCATTGTTTACAACATTTCATAATGACGCTGATATCGGTTAGAGAACAATTGGAAAACCATTAGGGAGTACTGAGCATATGTGTCTTCCTAGTGACTGGGGGACTCTTCAGAAGTACACGCCTACCTCTTTGGTTAGAATCCAGGACCTTCCGATTGTTACAAGGAGAGCTCATAGACCATTAAGCCACTAGGTTCGAACACCGGTGGGTGCGCACTATTGAAGAATCCCAAACTGGGACGAAACAACTGACTATCCCAATACCCCAGGTTTTCCAATGATTCCCTAATTGATGTCAACTCATGATGAATTCCTGAAAAACAATCAAGTCTTTGCAGCAAACCAACACTTGAATATTGTCATATATACACTGACGTACTGGTCCAATAGATTGAATTGGTTGACGAAAGCGTTGGATAGATTTAATCTTCTTTTGAATTCGTTGTAACGGTAGACCAATTGTCTGATGAAAGGGGTAAAAAGGAGAAAAAAAAGTATGTCCTCTTAAGTACAAGAAAGTAAAATGACTATGAGAAGAACTGACTTATATGAATTTGATTAGTACTGTAAGCAATAGATTGATTTTTTTTTAAATAAGAGAACTTTATCTTGAACTATAATCAGCTAAAAAAAGATCCATTGAAAACCAACAGAGACTTGAAATAATGCTGGAGTTAAATCGTGAAATAGTGGGGTGTTGAAACTTGACTCGACATAAGCTAGATGGTAATATATTCCCCGTCAAAAACTTGATGTAGAAACTAATCCGTAACAGAGAGGTGGATGTGCCTGCTCTCAGAAGATGTAAGGCTGTAACAACAGAAGACAGGGGCCGGCAACAGATCCTTTTACTACGGAAATCAACACGTATTTATATATATATATATATATTCAAGTACATTATTATAGCTTGTTCAAGCAGACAAACACAGTCTTCTGATCGGTTGTTTCTGGTTTCTCAGAGCGTTAAGCCGTATATTTGCGAATATTATTTGCCCACGTTAAGTCTGCTGTGATTGGTTGTTGAAACAGCCTTGTTCATATTTTCTCACGGCCAATATTAGTGACCTAGACATTGACGTAAATTAATGTCTACCAATTGGTTAGCAGCCTGTTCTCACCACAAGGCTATTTGCAAATTAATTAGAAATTGGCAATCTCCATAGTTTCAGGTAAATTTCTGGTGTCAGTTTCCATTGGAAACCGAAAGTGATTAGATCACAAATTAAGTCATCTGTTTGATATCATATACATAGAGGTGGAGAAATCAACCATAAATGCATCACTGTATAAGTTTACTCATTGATAAGTAGAAGACATTGGATACTACTATTTTTTGGTGTGAGTAGTATCTAACTACTCATGTCGATCATCTCATCAGTATGTGGCGCGACGTGTCTAGGGATAAATTAGTATTTTGTGATGAATTACACATTTTTCTTTTATAAAACTTAATCATTCGACAGTGAATTTCATTGTTCACTGATGTCATCTACAGAACTAATTAAACCATAGAAAGAAGCAGTCGAAAGTGATTTAAACGCTACTAGTTCAAAACATAGCTCGAATAATCTTCTGACTAAAGAGCATATAGACCAACTGAAAGAACTAGAGAAGAATGATGATATTATCATATGCCGTCCAGACAAAGGTGGGGGTGTCGTAGTTATGAATCGCCAAGACTATAATGATAAAATCTCAGCGATCCTTTCTGACCAAACGAAATTCGCCAAACCCGATGGTGAAGAGAACAAGACACATTTAATTGAAAACCAACTGACTGATGTCTTAAAGAATATGAGGAATAAGTCAGCAATATCGTCAGAAATATACGAACGCATCCGACCAATAGGCTCCATTATATCACGTTTGTATGGACTACCGAAAATACATAAGACAGGATTACCCCTCCGTCCAATCCTCGATATGGCGGGCTCTCCTTATCACGGAATCGCTCAATGGCTAGCCGAAATATTGGAACCGGTCAGAAGGCAAGTATCTAAGTTTTCCATTGATGATACGTTTAAATTTATTGATAGTATTAAAGATTTTAATGTCTCAGAAAAAGTCCTGTTCTCATTAGATGTGACGTCGCTATTTACCAATGTTCCTCTCATGGAAACTGTTAGCTATTTATGTGAGTATATTGATACACATGGTTTGGAAATAGGTTTACCGACAATCCACCTCAAAGAACTTTTATTGAGATGTACGTTGAATGTTCAGTTCACCTTCAACAATGAGATCTATAGACAGAGAGATGGCATTGCGATGGGATCACCACTGGGTTCCCTGTTGGATGATTGTTTTATGGCAAAGCTTGAAAATTCTTAACTTAGTCAAACCACCGGTCATTTCGACATTTATAAAAGATACGTAGACGACACTTTCGTTATCTACGATAAGAACGTAGTTCTTGATGATGTCTTGTTCGCCTTCAACAACTGCCATCCTTCTTTACAATTCACCATAGAAAAGAAATCTGAACTAAGTATTCCGTTTCTTGATGTGTGCCTCAGCAGACGTAATGACGGATCTCTCAAAAGATCGATCCACCGAAAACGTACATGGAACGGACAACTAACTAATTTTTACAGTTGGGTGCCTATTTCCAGGAAAAGGAATTTAATCCATTCACTCTGCTTTAGGATAAGGAAAATTTGTAGTTCTGATTGCGTCGACTCAGAACTTGACTTCCTGAAAGCCACACTCGCAGAAAACGGTTACCCTAACCGATTTATTGACAGCAACATGAAAGATAAGCAGTCTAAACTGGTCACCGACTCAGTTCCAAAGAAAACCTTATTCGTGAACTTGGAATTCGAAGGAGATCAAGCTTCAGATATGCTCAAAAATCGTCTTTCTAAATCAGTCAGTAAAACGTTCCCTGCAGCTAGATTACATATGACGTTCACGAGCCGTAAATTGTTCTCTACCTCTGTAAAAGATAAGCTCCCCCGTCTGACCGCCTCCATGTGCATCTACCAGTTCACCTGCTCTTGTGGAGCAAGGTACATTGGCCGTAGTCAGAGAATGCTCTCCACACGGATACGAGAACATATTCCAGCTTGGTTTTACAAGGGAGAAAGGAAATGTGTGCGAAGCTCTATCCTAGAACACCTCATCGACTTCTGTCACTCGGTCAATCCTGACCATGATTTCAAGGTCATATATAGAATTCATGCTAACTTTCCGCGTTTTCTTCGTTACAGACTTCTAAAGACAGCTGAGGCCTTGGCCATTCATGACTTTAAGCCAGACCTTTGTGTACAAAAGAAGGATGTACAATCCCTACTGCTGCCTTGGCCGTAGAGGGATAGACATTTATTTATTTTATTTATTTAGTTATTCTATGTACTTTTCCCTTATTACTTCGATTATTATTATTCATATTACGACTCTCATTCTGAATCTTTTCCACTTGACCTACTTGACACTTTAAACCAAAAATTATTCATGTGTATACTTTTTATCTTTACTTTTACAATATTAAATTCTATGTTATCAAATTTCACACCATGTTACGTAACATTTTATATTCGTCTATTCATCTTATAATTATATGCCTCTCCCCAAAATCTATACACCTGATGTATTATCTTATATATGACATTAATTATTGTTCCACTTGACTTAAACTATGAACATAATCACACATATTTTAAATTTATACCATACTATTATTATTTCATGTATTTACATCGTTGACCTAATTCCCTCACCGGATATAATTTCTTTATAAAACCATATATTTACGATTGTACAGCTTGATAATAAATTCGTTGTTGAAAAGAGTCACTCTGCTGAAAATTGTGTTCTTAATAATTTAATCAATCAGTTCTACTGCCTTGACTTCAGCCATTGGATCGGGTCTAAGAGCTCACCTCTTATAACCGGAAGGTCCTGGGTTCGAACCACTTCAGTGGGTGCAAACTGCTGAAGAGTCCCGATCTAAGAAGTCACAAGTGTCCAATGGTTCTCCGACCGATGCCATCTCATGATGAAATCCTGTAGTTTTAACTTTTGTTTGTTTGTTTATTTTTCTAACTTTTGCATTTGTGCACACTTTCATATGGGACTCTAACCAAAAGTTATGTACAGAACTTATGGACTGATATCACAATGCTGCTAAATTCTCTGCAACTTGATCGCATTTGAACTAAGTGAACAATAGTACATCTCTGGAATTACTATCTTTGGAAATGAACAGTACTCTGAAACTAATCACTTCTTCTCAAATTACCCAAAGCGAAATATAATTCATCGATGTATAGAGTCTTTGATTGTGGGATTAAGCTACCTAGGTAGGTACAGACTTTTACCGCACTGGACTCCTCGAGACTCTATGCGCCAATGGCTGCAGACTACTGGATCAGATGAATTCAGATCCAGATCCGTTGAATTCTTATTATTCTCCATGTAATGTCTTTTTTTTTGAAACCTTTCTGTGAATTACAGTTTCTCTTAGTTTCGTTTCTCTACTTTGATATATGTCTCAATTGTTAGATTTCTGTCACCATCAAGAATCGGTTAGAGAGATCATTGAAAATCATAGAGCAGTGTAGAGCTAGCTAGCTGTTTCGTCCAATTTTTCGACTCCTCATCAATGTGCACTCATGACTTCGACACGGAACGAACACAGAACTTTCACGTAATGAGACTAATCTCACTGACCAATAAGTGTCACATGGGCTTGAATTCAGTGACCCTTGGATTATAACTTTGTCAATGTGGTAGGAATTTCTTTACAGTAAGTAAGTAAGTAACTTTTCTTCACGTTTCTTCTTTGAAAACACGTTTCCTTACATCCCAGCTGAATAAAAGTATGCACTTCATAGGATAGAAGCCATTAAATTTCAGGCAGGCAAAGTTCGCTTCACATCTCTCTTTCCTACGAATATGTCTTGATATATGCTTGCATAAAGGGTGACAGTTTAACATGACTTGACTCTTGTATAAAATTCTACATTGACAAAGTCATCTTATACTACTTATACTACACTGTGCGTCGGTGGCACAGTGGTTAGGGCTCTCGCCGACCGTGCACATGGTCCGGAGTTCGAGCCCGCGCCGACGCGCACCTGATGTCTATGGTCGGCCTGCGAATTTTGGGCTACCGATATCCACGCTGAAAATTCCACACTTGTCCCAAAAATACGGTGTGGAATCAAGCTGTAATCAAAAATTAAATAAAAATAAATAAATGAATCTAAATGCGATCAAGTAGAAATTGAATTTTGACAGGAGACTTAATATTATTTTAAATAAAGTGAAAACAAAAAAATGTTGGTGCAAAATAAGTATTATTATGAGACCACCAATTTATTTCGTCGTCAGATGGTACTCTTCAGCTGCTGACAACTTAAAAGTTGATTATGTAAATATATGCATAGAATTTTGTCATAATTGAAATGGTTCACAACATGATTTTTGTTAACAGAGACATACATGTTAGTGAACAGTTTTCAGAAGTTCCACTTATATACTTTATGAAGAAGGTATAAATACAGGTGTATACAAAATTAATGGTTAAATATCATATTTATTTATATTTCACAGTGAAATAGTATTATTTATTCCGACACAATTGACTGTACATAATCATAAAAATTATGCGATTATTAAGTGACTATTCCCGCAAACCTCTGCCTCAATTTCATTGACTTTGAAAAGGCATATGTCAGGTGATCCACAACGAGGCTTTCGAAGTGCATACAGAAGTAAGACAAGGCTGCTTGTATATTATCACCTACGATGATATTCTTAATTGTGGTGGACTGGATTATGCGTCAGACTGTGCGTTGGTAGCGAGAAGTCAGAAGTACGCTGGACGACCGATAAGATGACTCTAGAAGATTTGAATTTTACGTGTGGGTGATTTATGTTTGATGTTACACAAACTTGAAGAGTTGCAGGCGAAAACCAACAAACCGGCTAAAGAGACAGGCAGCGTAGATAGGACAAAATTCAGAGTCTTCTGAACACCTTGAGCAGCAATCTCCGTATGTTTGGCATGCGATTCGCCCCTGTAAAATGTAAGATGCTGGCTGCTACAGGACTGGACTACGTCAACTCCTAGCTTAGTGATAGGAAGCGAAGTGATAGAATATGTTGACCACTACACCTATTTGGGAAGTTGTATCACAGCACCAACGGACTGATTGGCGACGAAATCTCACCACGGATCCAAAAAGCTCGAGCTGCTTTCGCTAACTTACACCATCTCTGGCGTCGGCGTGACATCCGGCTATCAACCAAGGGACGTGTGTACTCCTCATCAGCTCGTTCCGTCCTTGTCTATGGCTCTGAAACATGGCCAACACGAGTTGAAGACAAAAGAAAGGGTGACTGTTTTCGATCACAGATGTCTATGATCTCTTTCTCACGTTAGGTGGTTTAATAGGGTAAGTAATGTTGACGTTAGGCGTAGAGTGTTGGGCAAAGAGGGAAAATCATTCGACGAGGCTATAAAGTTACATAGACTAAGATGGCTAGGTCACGTGCTGCGCATGCCTAACCATCGCCTCCCCCCGCCGACGGGCATTACTAGCTGATATAGGTGCAGGTTGGAAAAGAGTAAGTGGTGGTGGTGGCCAAACAAAAACATGACGGCATCAATCCATGAAATCCTTGACAGTTAAACTGACTCAGGTAGGGGGGGAGATGCAGACTTCCGGGTTGGGGCCCTCGGGACTGACGCTAAGAATCAATGGCTGGAGACAATAGATGACATGGCTCAAAATCGTTGTCAATGGCCAGCGCACATGTATTCAGTCTCTGTAATCTTTCATATTTCTTTCTACCATTACCCATTATTCTGTTTCACTTTTATACTTGTCAAACTGTATTGATTCTCTTCACTCATCTTCTTGTCTACCTCTGTGTGCAATTTGGAACGTGGCAACTCGAACTGGTGCACTTCGGTGCCAAGTTCTATGTTGAATCCAGACAGACAGACAGACAGATAGGACTCCAGGCTAAAATAGAGGAGCTGGAGGTAGTGAAGATAACCAACCACCACCAACAGCAACAACAACAACAACCAGAATCAATTACCATCAACGGGAAAGATTTGACGGAGAGGTTACTTCCTTGACTTATCTGAGGAGTATCGTTTCAACTACAGACACGCCAAACGGATGCAGATGTCAAAGCCAGCCAGAATAGGAAAGACAAGAATAAGCCTTCATCAAACTGACATCAATTTGGAAGTCTTCTGCACACAACACATATGGAACAAGATTTGGGTTTTCAACACAAATGTGAAGACGATCCTTCTATACGAGTCGGAAACTTCCATCGCATGTCAGGAAAAGGATTTCCAACAGGTTGCAGGGGGGTTTCATTAACAGCTGCCTTTGCTCCATATTGAATAACAAATGGCTGGCCAGAAAGAATTAGTAACGAGAAAAAATCTGGGAAAAAGCCAGTCAAGAGGCGATTGCTCCACAAATATGTAGAAGATAATGGAGATGGATTAGGCATACTTTGAGGAGGCAGTCGAATGACATCACGCGCAATGTAGGCTATGGCTCATAATTTTTCCTTCACGTTCCCCTGTGGAACATAGGGCTTCAAGCTAGTGGCTTGAAGTTTCTGTAGCAGTGTTTAATTTTTATAGGATGGGGTTGCTAGCCTCATGCCCAACCTTTCCTCTTTATCAGCATTATTTCTGGCTCAGTGAGGTAAAGGAGTGCGCCGGCCGGGGATTGAACCCCGGACCATATGCATGGTCGGCGAGCGTCCTAACCGCTATACCACCGACGCACTAGGCTATGGCTCAAGTGGAAGCTAAATGACAAGCGATGAGTGGGTCATCGGTATGAGGGTGACACATGGAGGAGATTGGAGATTATGGGCAATCGTGGACCCGGCTGAAGAGGATAGCAGAAAATAGAACAAAGCGGAGATGTGTTGTTGAAGCCCCCCTTGTTCGTTCCACTCGGAACCCAAGGGAACAATAATAATAAATAATAATTCCCGCAATTATATCACCTCTAAAATCCAGTTGGACGACGATAAGTTTCTTATTTACTTTGGCTTGTTTCCTCGTTAGATTTTCAGATCGTTCATATTTTTTTTGACGAATTTCGCAGGGTAATCATTATTTTTAAGTATTTCTATGGAGCATATTCTTCTGTCTCTGTGAAACAAAGTTTTAGCTGATTGGACCAAAACTATTGACATTTAAATATAGTCCATTCCACGTTGATTTTCACTGAATGGATTTGGACATTGTCCATGAAAATGTGTCTTTGTTAGCAAAAAAACATGACAAAATTCTATGTGCATCTTTACATAATCAATTTTGAGGTTGCAAGCAGCTGAAGAGAATCATCCGACGACGAAATGCATTGATAACCTCATAATAATACTTATTTTGCTCCAACAATCTTTTTTTGGTTTTTGCTTTATTTAAATTCATAAAAGGGAAATAATAAGTGTATGAAAGCTTAATATTACCTGACCAACACTTGTAGTACCGGAGAGAACAGTTCCCGTCAGAATAGTACCTTGTCCAGTAATTGTGAAACAATGATCAACAGCAAAAACAAAACTCATATCTTTCAACTTATTCCGTTTTTCTGTAGGATCAGGAATGGATCGTGCTAATAAAGTGATTAGATTTTCTACCTCTTGAGAATGATATGGACGTTCAGGAGTAAATTCCACCTATTGTATAATAATAAAAAATTAGATTTGTAATATTTGAAAAATGTATGTATTCACACTTTTGTGATTTGCATAGTTACAAACAAGAAGAAAACGGTGTAAACTCCAACAACGGCAATGTTAAACTTTAAGCACCACTAACTACCAATCAGCAAATGGCCTCGAGAGCAACAATCACGTGAAGGAGGCATTTTCGTGCATGGAATAAATGTATTTATTCATATCACCTTCCTATGACTATGAATATACCCTATAATCCAACCATTTTTCTCACACTTAATTCCAAGGTTACGAATATGAGACTTGCTACTGATGACCACGCTCATATTAAAACGTAGATCGTTGAAGACATTTACTCTATGAGATGAATCGTTAAAGCAATTGACAACGCCGAACGAAATCATCAACATACCCAGGATAAAAAATCTAGCTCACTGATTGCAGACTTCACTTTGTTTCCTTTCCAAATCATCCATAAAAAAAAATATTAGCCAGGATAGGTTTCAATAAACGAATCATAGAAACTCCATTGGATTGATGAGGTAAGACATCATTTAACTGGATGCGTACCACTAAACAGTCGCAAACTAGGACGAAACAGCTGTCCAGTACTCCCAGGGTCCCCAGTTGTTCTCGAACCGTTGTGAGCTTATGATGAAGTACTGTAAGCAATCAATCAAATCCCTAAAAACCAATACTTGAAAATCAATGAGATGCTCACTAGTGACTAGCTCTATTAATATAGGTAGCTACGTGGAATCTAGTGGGAAGTCATGAACAGTAGGGTGCAGTAAGTCGGGTGTGAGGACAAATACTAGCCGAAGACATTGGCTATGACGTGAATTCGCAAAGTTGGAATTCATGGGCTGGTCATTGGATAGGGTCCCAGTGGCTTAGTAGTCTACGAGCTCGCCTTGTAACCAGAAGGTCCAGGGCTCGAACCCAGCGGGTGCGTGCTGATGAAGACCCCCAAACCAGGATGAAACAGATGTCCAGTACTCCCAGGTTTTCCGATGATTCCCTAACCAACATCAGCTCATGATGAAATCTTGTAACCAATGAACTGAAAATGTTTATCCATTAGGACATAATATAAAAACGGTTTGAATTGATGTCATGGTTAGCGGAAGATCGGAATGTCAACAAACACATTTTTAGAATTTCTTGTAGTGGGATACTTGTAAGAAAAGAATGACACATCATATTTCTTGTTCTTTTTCAAAAACTCATTTTGTTATCTGAACGTTGGGAGGTAGGTGTAGGTTGACGAAGAAACAATTGTTAACCTCGTGCTGTTTTTACCATTTCTCATCCTCTTTTTTCTACTGGGGAACTCTATTTTCTTTGCGGAATGTTGGCTACTTCATTCCTCATGTTTTGTCTACATCTAGTTAAATGCTCGTTCAGTTTTAAGAATATTCATCATGTCGTATTATATATTATCAGTCGTCAGAACGCTTAGCAACTTCGTCCACCCCCAAATGACTTGCTAAAATTTTCCATATCTCCAGCATAGGCGTTGCGTTATTCCGATTCTACACATGTGTGCTGTTAACTTGACGATAAACAAAGATTCAGTGATTAACCTCTCTGCATCCCACATAACTATATTACTTTTCAATCTCTCACTCTGTCCAACCCGATGGTGTGTGATTACATGCAAGTGAATGCAATGCAGTGGCTGAGCTTCTTTCTGCCTTATTTAAGTCACCTGGGTCGATCATTCGAGGTCTAGCTAAATTTTTCTGTCCCAGTAATCTAATTGATCCCGATGTACTAGTTTGACTGACGTATGTAATTGACCTCACTAACAGTCAGTATTACATGGTATTTGGTAAATTATATTATTATTTATCTTAATTGGATCTATCGGGTCCTCAAGTCAACAAAGTTTATCTCTCGAAGAGTTTGGTTGGTTGGTTGGTTTAAATGCCACTCCAATATCAACCTCATTGAGAATCCTACGTAAGGCTCCCGTAAAATGCAAGATGATGTTACAGGACTGGAATGCAGCGACTCCTAGATTAGAAATAGGGAGTGAAGTGGTAGAGCACGTTGACTGCTTCACTTATTTGGGAAGTACCATCAGCCAGTGTCAACGGGTTGATCTCTGACGAAATCTCAGCACCAATACAGGGGCTCGTTTCGCACTTGCCAGTCTACGCCGACTCTGGCGTAGACGAGATGTTCGACTATCGACCAAAGGGCGGGTGTACTGCTCATCAGTCCGCTCCGTCCTCCTTTATGGCCAGCTGTGAGACCTGGCCATTGAGAGTGGAAGACATGAAAAGATTAGCTGTCTTTGATCATAGGTGCCTGCGTTCTATTTCCCATGTGAAGTGGCATAATAAGGTGAGCAATATTGAGGTTAGGCCTCCGTCAAGTGCTAGGTAAGGAGGGGAAATCGATCGACGAGGCTGTGAAGTTACAAAGACTGAGATGGTTAGGACATGTGTTACGTATGCCTAGTCATCGCCTTCTGTCTGTCTGTTTTCGACATAGAACTTTGCACAAATGTGCGGAAGTTCAGGTCGCCACACTTCGTGTATCACGCGAAGCAAGAGAAGAAAGTAGAAGAAAAGCATAATAGAGACAGTAAGCAGAGGTGTGAGACAAAGGAAGAGTAATAACGAAGAACAATATAATTTCATTGGAAGTCATAAGTCACAAGGAGTGGATGCATCTGCGTTAGCCACTGAGAACGATTTTGAGCCATATCACCAATTGTCTCCAACCATAGATTTTTACCGTCCCGAGGACCCCAACCAGTCAGGAAGTCTACACCTTCCTACGTGGCTTAGACTAACTGTTGTGGATTTCATTGACTGGTTCCATGTTTTTGTTTGACCTCCACTAGCTTTTTTCCAGCCTGACCCTATATCCGCTAACATTGCTCGTCGAGGAAGGCGATGACTAGGCATACGTAACACATGTCCTAACCATCTCAGTCTTTGTAACTTCACAGCCTCGTCGATTGATTTCCCCTCCTTACCTAGCACTTGACGGAGGCCTAACCTCAATATTGCTCACCTTATTATGCCACTTTACACGGGAAATAGAGCGCAGGCACCTATGATCAAAGACAGCTAATCTTTTCATGTCTTCCACTCTCAGTGGCCAGGTCTCACAGCCGTCGCCTTCCTCGACGAGCGGATATAAGGTCAGGCTGGAAAAAAGCTAGTGGAGGTCAAACAAAAACTTGGAACCAGTCAATGAAATCCACAACAGTTAGTCTAAGCCACGTAGGAAGGTGTAGACTTCCTGACTGGTTGGGGTCCTCGGGACGGTAAAAACCAATGGTTGGAAACAACTGGTTTTGTGGCTGGCTCAAAATCGTTCTCAGTGGCTGGTGCAGATGCATCCACTCCTTGTGACTTATGACTTCCAATGAAATTATATTGTTCTTCGTTATTACTGTTCCTTTTTGTCTCACCTCTGCTCACTGTCTCGATTATGCTTTTCTTGTACTTTCTTCTCTTGCTTCGTGTGCTACATGGAGAGAGTGTGGCGACTTGAACTTCCACACATATGTGCAAAGTTCTATGTCGAAAACAGACAGGCAGACAAGTTGTTTATAAACTCAGTGAGGAGATTAAATCCCTAAAATAATATATAACAAGTAAGTGGTGAATTCTTCTAATTACACTCACCAACCCCATTGTTAGTAGACAGCATACATATTCTTGCGGTGAGCAAACCACAGTCAGTTTTACGCAACAACCATACAAATTTCCATGCAGTTGCTAATGAGCCACATCTATTTTATGAGAGTGTTATGTGCTCTTCGCTAGAGATCCTACCTACCTGGCTGCCCAACCATCGTTAGTTGGAGCGGAGGCTGAACCTATAAGGCTGGCTGTTTTGAAGTTACCTGTCGAGGCCAAGGAGTACATAGCTTTACAATGATCAGTCTTTATAAATAATCAGAAATAGAAAATTATCTCTTCGCACTTGTGTTTCCCTTCGCCAGTCACAAGGGAAGTTCGACTGCTTTGACTCCCGGCCGACGCGCCTCTAAATCTTGCTTAGTTTATTAGTGACTGAGTAGTAAGCCTGGGAAAGAGGAGTTAGGCATAAATCTGGCAATCCCACATCATAAACAAAAAAACATCACGGCTAGTTAGGTGTGAAAAAGCTCAGAGTTGCATATTACACACAGAAAAAGTGGAACCGAAAGAAAATAACCTTCAAATATAACTATTCTTTGCATTAAAATCGTCTAATAAATAATTTGCGTGTATCACTGGGTGTAATTACTAGAAAAAAAGGACTGAGAAATGTAAGAGATACTTAACAAAACAACGGTGAAAGTATTCACTTCCATCTGTTTTCAGCATAGAACTTTGCACCGATGTACAGCAGTTCGAGTCGCCACACTTCACTCAGCACACAAAGGAAGAGAAGAAAGTAGTAGAAATTCGAAATAGAGACAGCATACACGGGTATGAGACAAAAAGAATAGTAACGACGAAGAACAATATAGTTTCATTGGAAATTATAAGTCACAAGGAGTGTATGCATTTGCACCAGTCATTGAGAACGATGGTTTCGAGCCATATCACCAACAGTCTCCAGCCTTCATTGGTTTTTACCGTCCCGAGAACCCCAACCAGACAGCAGTCTACATCTTCCTACGTGGATGGTTTAAACTAACTGTTATAGGTTTCATTGACTGATGAAGCCAAGTTGGTTTTGGTTTGACCGCCGCTAACTCTTTTCCAGCCTGAACCTATGTCAGCTAACATTGTCCGTCAAGGAAGGCGATGACTGGATGCATGCATAACACATGTCATAACCATCTCAGTCGATGTAGCTTCACAGCCTCGTCGATTGATTCCTCCTTCTTACCTAGCACTCGACCAAAGCCTAACTTAAATATTACTCAGTATATTACACCACTTTACACGGGAGATAGAACCCAAGCACCTACGATCAAGCACTTCTAGCTGATCTTTTCATGTCTTCCACTCTCAATGGCTAGGTCCAAGTATTCACTCGGAATTGGTGTGTTATTTAAAGCTTATTGTACTGTCACATCTAAGACTGATTAGACACCGTAAGTCTGAATAATCGTTTATGAATAAAATAAGATTAAACCCACCTGAACACCACCTGGAGCAGCAGAAATTTCTGCGATTTCTGAATCTTTAAAAATTGTTCCTTCTAATGTCTTCAGTATTCTTTTTTTCATCTTTAGATAGAATTACTATAATTAAGTAAAACTACCTTCAGAATGATTCAGCTCTCTGGCTTTCTTCTAATAAATCACATTTGTTCAGAACTACTAACATTTTCTCGCAGGCAATTTCACCAATCACTAAACATTCAGCTGTTTGAGTCTGGAATCCCTTAGTAACATCCACAACAAGAAGAATAACATCGATTATCTGAGATCCTGTAATAAAACAGTGGAAATATAGTACTTAACAATAATTAGCGATGAAGAGAAATGCACTATTGTATTACTAAAGAGTTGAATAGTTAAACATGCGATGAATTTAAGAGGAATAACCTGGTAATTCAATAATCACATGCATAGTAGAGAATTAATTAACAGTAAGTTAACAAGATAGGTTTTTTTTCCTTCACGTTCCCAGTGGAACATAGGGCTTCAAGCTAGTGACTTGAAGTTTCTGCAGCAGTGTTTAATTTTACAGGATGGGGTTGCTAGCCTCATGCCCAACCTTTCCTCTTTACCAGCACTATTTCTGGCTTAGCGAGGTAAAGGAGTGCGTCGGTGGCCGGGGATCGAATCCCGGACCATGTGCATGGTCGGCGAGCGTCCTAACCGCTGTGCCACCGACGCACAAGATAGTTGGGGACGAGAAATTCGCACGATTGTTATCTACGGATGAAAAAAATTATTTAGAAGGAAATAAACATTAAGTACCGATGAGTCATTCAAAACCAGACAGTTAAAATCTTCATATATCGTACAAACTACAGCTAAAATGCCTGATATCATTACAATTTTGTGTTGGTAGTATATTCCAATTGAGAATTTTGGATCCGCTGCTACTGACACTAAGTGATTGGCAATGTAGTACATATTGATTTGGATGCATCGGTTTGACAAGGGAGTTTTTCCTAGATTATTTCTGTTTCACATGTTGTCTATATGGGTAAGTTATGCAGCATATAGTATTTATGACGCAAAACAGCTGAGAAAAGGTTACAATTTTGTTGGGTGAATTAACTTATCTGCGTGAAATTTCACCTTTAGTCCAAATATTATTTAACCAATATTTTCGCCATTATTATTTACTTCCTGAAGCGGTGTCGTGAGTAAATTATTGTAAGTTAAAGACGAACGAATGAAATGAGAACCTGAAGATTAATTTATTTAGCCATCTTGGAACATTTCCTCCTAGTCCTTTAATAATAAGGATGCAAGTTAACCTTAATATCCTACAACCTTAAGTGCTAATTGCTACCAATATCTTAGAGCTTCCAAACATTTCACAACTTGCATCTATCTATCTGTCTTTTACATACCTTTGTGGAATACGTAACAATATGACTACACCTTTTTGTCAGATGTTGAAATTAGAGACATTGTACGTGACTTTTGTTTACAACGATTCATGTTGAAATACAGATAACCTGAGTACAATCTAAAATACACTGTACTGTTGATCGCTTCGTCTTCTCACTGATCTATACTGTCTACATGATTCACTCATAACCGTGTTGTATACTGTGGATTTTTGCAGAGACCTCTTATCCTCATCCGAAGATAATTCTACAGCCGGTACACAGCTTCTACCAGTAACACGACACTAGCAGTGAACGCTTCTGTGGATTATATTAATAATTTGTAACCGTGGACTCTAACTGTATAACCAAGTAACCGTTTAATTAATATAACTCATTACTGTATTTTATATAATATATTGTTACACTAATGTTACATATCATATAGACAATAATTTTGGTGGTTTTAATACCCTTGATGTGCTTAAATGTCTCCGGTTTCTTAAGCCTTCCCAAAACCTTGGTTCTGATGGCCTACCTGCCATTGTCTTCAGGAATTGTGCTGATATTTTGTGTTACCCTCTCACTAACATTTGTAATGCTTCCTTTTCCGATAAAGTTCTACCTTTTGCATGGAAAAACATTAAAATTATCCCCATACCAAAACCATCTTCTGGTACTGATATTAAATTTAGGCCTATTGCAATTACTTCACCCTTTTTAAAATTGATGGAAAAATTACTTTTACTTCGTCTTGAACCTTCATTGAAACCTTTTAATGATCCTAAACAATTTGCTTACAAACATGGAGAAGTACCTTGGATGCTGCGGTTGTCTTATATCACAGTGTTGTTTCTTGTTTGGACAAAGGTGTCAAATATGTTCGCAGTGCTTTCCTAGACTACACATCTGCTTTTGACTCTGTACCTAGGAGCCTTTTATTAAATAAGCTTTCGTTGACACAAACAGGATCCTGGCCTAAGAGTTTTTTTATTGTTTTTTATTTTTCTGATAGAATGCAGTATACTGTATATAATGGCAAATCTTCTGCCTCGCTTGCGAAAGCCGGTGTTCCTCAAGGTGCCGTCTTCTCTCCTTTTCTTTTTTCTTTCTTCCTACACGACCTGCCTCATTTAAACGAAACTAACTTCGTCAGATATGCAGATGATCTGACTGTATCACTGCCTATCACTTCCGAGTCTGACAGCTCCAAACTTAATAGCTTTCTGTTGGACATCAACAAATGGTCTAAGTCAAATGGTCTTATGTTAAATCCTTCCAAATGTCAGGCACTTGACTTTACTTTCAAGCATCGACGTGACTTACATGAACTAGTTAGCTCGCATGGTCCCTGTAGCATAGATGGCACTGAAATCGAAACCAAGTCAAGCATTAAATACCTTGGATTAGTTCTTTCCTCTAACCTTTCATGGTCATCCCATATCTTATCTATTTCTAAGAAAATGTTTCGTCATACCTTCTACATTAAAAAGTTAAGACAATCAGGTATCAACCAACCTTTAGTTTTGCAATTTTTAAACTCCTGTATTTTACCTATTGTACTCTTTTGCTCTCCATTAATCTTTCCTGGGCTTCTCAAAAAAGACTATATCATATTACGAAGAGTATTAAATGCTGTGAGTAGAGCTTGTGGTTAGGACTCTCGCCGACCATACACATGGTCCGGGGTTCGAGCCCGCACCGACGCACATCTGATATCTATGGTCGGCCTGCGAAATTTGGGCTACCGATATCCATGCTGAGAATTCCATACTTGTACCGAAAATACAGTGTGGAATCAAGCTGTAAATCAAAAATGAAAATGAAATACTATAGTCGAGAGGCATATAAATTCCTGTACGAAATGGGCAAAGGCTGTACTGTCAGACCCCCTGCACCCCCTTTATTCACAACTACCCTTGTATCTCATCAGGTAGGACGAGAAATCAATACAAAAAGTTATCTGCTCGTACCGCTAAGAACAGAAATTCTACAATACCCTATTTAGCCCGTACTTTATGTGATAAAGACTCTGTTAGACGTGAAACACATAAGTTGCTATGTAATTAGCAAAGTGAATCGACACTTTCATTGTTCATTTTTCTGTATTATATGGTGTCACACTTTCTATCCTTTAATTATAACTTTGCTATTTTATTTTAGTTGTTATTACTATTATTACTACAATTTTAGACCTTATGCATATTTTTCTCCGTATTGCATACAGTAATTTGCTATGTAGCTGCTATAACAACGTTTTATTATTATTATGTAATGTTTATTTTATTTTTTGTCGTTTTTGAGTAAATTAGATGCGATATTGTACTGAATGCTGAAAATTCCTTGCTGTATCATTAGTATTGTTTTTGGAATAAAGCAAATTATTATTATTATCATCATCACATTAACTTGGATTTTTATTCGCATACTTTTTATGTAGTACACAAAGGAAGACAAAAGAGAAATGTACGGGTGAAAGAATAGTTACCTGGAAAAAAAATAGGATTTTTTTGGATATGGCAGGTCAAAAAGAGTGAATACATCTGCGTCATTGAGAACAATGACTTTGATGCATATTGCCAACTGTCTCTAGCCATTGGTTCTTAGAATCCTGAGGACTGCAACCAGGTAATCTACACCTCAATGTCATTCAAACTAACTGTTAGAGATTTTATGGACTGATGCATTCTTTTAACCTCAGGTTATACAGCTATCTGAGTAATTAAATTGGGCAAACGATAGATTTACCATGTAACAAGTACTGTGTCATTACCTGTCATATTTAACCCGTTGTTGCTAAGACACCTACACTTCTTGATACACGAGTTTTATTGTTTCACTGATGTATAACTACATGAGTAAGCTATAGGACTAACCCTAACAAAAAGTATAAGTTTATTTAAAGAAAGTAACTACAATAGTGCTAGGAAAACAAAAAATAACTTAACATTAATTCCCGAATTATGGCAATACATTTTAAGCACATTTGGCTAACACTTCCTATTTCAGTAGATCACGAAATCTAGAGTTTCCCACACGATCTAAGTCAGTGGTAAAATTTTCCGATTGAAATAGCTTTAGCTGGCTACAGCTAACATAGGACAGTTCAGTTAGTAGCTGACGATGCACCGTACGCGCCTAATCCGCAACTACTTCATGTTGAATTAATGAGTGTCTGATACTTTGCCTAGAAAAAGATACGGTGGCAACCTCTCAACCACACATTTCATGAATGAGATTTTTCGTCACTTATACACAATTACCACAAAATCACATAACTGCTTCGATATCATGAAACAAAATCATATACAAGTAAATACACATTTGCATCAAGTTAGGAAATATTCTTAAATAAGAGCGAGAAGATGCCTGATATTATATGAAATCCCCGTGGAGATAATTACAGTAGTTTGCAACGAAAAAGAGTAGTTCTTTGTTGATTATCAGCCGTGCACACCGGTGAATGTGGAAATGCCTCCTAGGTGGAAATGAAAACTTCTTTGGCTCTCTTACATATGTGAAATTAAGATAATATAATAATTTCGCTTTTATTCCAGAAACAGTACTAGTGGTACAGTGTGGAATTTTCAGCACATATCTACAATATTGCATCTAATTTCATCGTACATTTAAAAGGAGTATTACAAAGAATAAATACAAAAAACAACAAAAACCAAAAAGAAACACAAAAATAACAAAAAAAATGCAAATAGAAAT